CCCCTTCAACAGTCTCTGTAACCCCCGGCAGCTGGAGGAGTTCATCGTTATGGACACAGAGATCATCAGAAACCAGAAGCTGGGTGCTGGAGCCGGCATTAGGTCCAATAAGGTGAGAGAGAGAGAGAGAGAGTCTGCTTTGTGTGACTGTGTGTCTGTGTGTGTGTGTTGTTGCAGAACAGATTGCATTATGGAGGGAACATTGCTTTTCTTCTGGAAGCAAAATCAATAGCACGCCATTACATTATCCCTGATGCCTGTATGTGCGAGTCAGGCCAAAACGACAGAAAACACACAGGAGTGTTTGTTTGCAAGGGGCAAGGAATCAGGTTTACTGGGACGCTGTTTGCTCTGTCTGAATGTTGCATTAGTATCGATGCATTTGTCTGACTGAATTGGGAGGAAAAGAATAAGAGTCATGTTGTTCCATTGGCCGCAAACAACATCAGTATTCCTTTTGTGTGTGTTGCAGCACACCCTGGCCGAGGTGTGGGTTCAGAAAACCTCCGAGCTGGACACGAGTCAGCAGTATCACTGCCGGACATTCCTTGGTCACCTGCTCAACATCGGAGACCTGGTGCTTGGGTAAGAACAAGAGATGATGGTGGTAAAGACTGATAGCAATGTTGTCAGCTTGACATTTAAAAGAACATTTATGTCTCACCCTGCAGGTTTGACTTTGCCAATTCCAACGTCAATGACGAGTACCTGAATAAGATGAACCCTCACCACGTCCCTGATGTGGTAAGAGTCGCCTGAATTCACTGAACATCCTCACTCCAACACAACTTAACTTCAAGTGATGCCTTTAGTAGCTATCCACTTGATTAACACTGCCCTCTAGTGGAACCATAGAATACTGACTTCAGAATACAACATCCCTGCATAGCATCACATAAAAACACATGTAGACATTCTGTTGTAGTTTTTTTTTTTCTCATGTAACACCTGACTGTGGACCCTTCTCAGGTGCTGATCAAGAAGAGCTACGACCGCAGCAGGAGGGTGAAGCGCAGGAACTGGAAGCTGCAGGAAATGGCCAGAGACCGTGAAGGCATGGACACAGACGATGAGAGGTAGGAGAGTGATGCAGAGTTTGTAAATCTTGATGTAAATAAAAGCAGTGCTGTCTGGTCAGCATACCAGGTTTGAAGGTAGTCACCTTAAAATAATTTAGACTTGTATATACCAAACGTACTGTGTTACCAAGGTGTCTCTTGCATACATACAAAAAAGACATTTTGGCTTCAACACCAGTTATGGAAAACAAGCCATCCATTGTGATGGACTTTAAAGGAGCTTTATTACAAAGAGAAGAGCTACATCAGGCTCTGATACTTCTTTGTAGGATTAATCATTTTGCCTTTTAATGTAGAACATGCCAAGACTTGTCAAGACATTTGGTCTTTGGAAAAACTATATCCAGTTATAAGAGGTATCTTAATATTTGTTATTTTCTTTTCATGAAATATTGTTACAAAGAAAGGGTTTATTCATTAGGATCACTGTGTCCTTGGAAAATACTGAATAAATAAACAATAGTTAAATCTTCCTGATCTGTTTGTGGCTGTGAGTAAGTAATGATGTGCACAGATGTCGTCCGTTCAGTGCTAGATAAAGGATGACTCTTAAAATACCTGAAACGGTGACTCAGGTTATGGTATTGTTGTGGTTAGTAAGTGCACAGTCTAAAAATGTGCCAACAATGTCATGTATCCTGTAAGTTGTTTTTCTCTCTAAGAAATGCAACCTGTTTTTTTCTGTCTCTAGACAATACCAGGACTTCCTGGAGGACCTGGAGGAGGATGACGCTCTGAGGAAAAATGTTAACATCTTCAGAGGTGATCAGCAGACCCTGCAGACTTTTCTGTGCACCACTGTCCTCAGAGGCTTTTGCCTTTTCCCTGTTATGTTTTATACTTTCATGTTTGCTGCTTAAACTGTTTGGATACTACTCATTTAGAGTCCGTCGGTGCTTAAAGGGGAAGTTTCTGTTTATTATAGATGATGTTTTGGATAATTAATGAACGTTTGTGTTGTTGTTTTTTTTTTGCTTCCAGATGCTCAAAGATCCCAGTGGAGAGCGACAACGAGGATGACGGAGCGCCGCGGATCTCGCTCATGGAGATGCTGGAGGAGCTCAGCCTGTCAGATGCCACAGGAGGAGAGGGCGCCGACATGATGACAGAGTAGACGATCATCATTCTGCCTGAGTGACACTGACAGCTGATCAGTCAAATACAACACCATTGACGAAGAAGTGATACAAGTATACACATTTAAAACTGATTGAGGACAAATCTAAAAAAATCCACAAATAATGTCATTGAGAAAACACCACTCAGAATGTGATATAATGATGTAAAACCCATAAACTGTGTTAGGGGTTATAAGGGTTTATCACACGTGTTTCTGCTCAGAAACTGAACTTTCAGTTTTGTTAAACTGATTGTTTACCTCCTTTGACATCGGCTCAGTGGATTTCTATACCAACCTTGGGTCTATGAAATTAAGAATTTCATTTTTCTCTTAATGATTTTCTGCATTTATGCAAATTTTGAACTGGCGTGGAAAAAGAGTGCTCCTAGTTAACTATATCAAAATAAATATATCACGCTCTTCTGACAGTTTTTGATATGAAACACATCATCTGTGTCCCTAATCCAGAGTGTATAATAAAACAGCATGTACTACACACTTATTTTGGAAAGCTTCTCTGTATTAAAAAAAAAAACAGACATCCCATTCTTTTATGATTGAATCCTTTATTTCTCCATTTCAAACATGTTCAGTTTGATTAAAGTCTGGGTCTGATCAAACCTGCGTAGAGTCAAGTACTTGACTGTGTAAAACCACCAGAGGGGAGTAATGCCTTCAAATAGCTGCTCTTGTGTTGAGTAGGACACAGCTTGTTAATGTTGTCATTTGGCTTACAGATATTCAAATACTCTCCCAGCAGCAGCAACATTTCACCAGAGACAGTGCATTGTGCTCATAGAGGTAGAAGAAAGAGAGGCAGATGATACTTTAAGCTGCTTTTAATAAATTTCAGCCATTGCGCATGTGAAAACAACTCCACCCTGTCGCCATTCATACAACTCAGAAACACAAATACAATAAAGACATGAATAGTCGCACGACGCACACTGGGCACCAGGACATGCCCTGAAAACTCTCAAACGTTTGGCAGGTTTTTGTCTGAGAATATTTAAAGAGGTCTGATGTGTAATCATATATTTTGTGCTTACAAAATAAAAAGCACAAGAAAGAAACTTGTCTAAGAATCTAAGTAAAGTTTGTTTGTATAGCACTCTTCAACAGTCACAGAGCACTTTATGAAGGCACGGCATAGAAAAAATGAAAGTAATAATGCAATTGCCACAATAGTGATTAAAAAAGGAAAAGATATCACATGAGCAGAAAAGATTGAATACACAGTTCCCAGTTACAATAGACAGTAAAGAACACTGCATTAAAAGATGAAGGATACTTATCCAAATGCCTGTGTAAACAGGTGTGTCTTCACCTGATTTTTTAAATCACTAACAGCTTTTGCAGAGTGCAAAGACATGAGAAGAACAAGGGCCAAGTGTGGGAGCTTAACCACAAAGTAAAGGAATATCAACACGTTTTCTTATTTGCCCTGAATTTTTGATTTTAATAGAAGGTAGCTGTACACTGCTGACAGGGCTTCATTATTATTGGATAAAATAGAGTATGTCAATACATTATCAAAGGCTTTATTGATGATTCATTGTAAAATGTGAGAAAAACTAAAGGTATATTACATCTTAAAACCCCTTAAAGTATTTCAAAGTGCATCACTTTTATCTAACATTTCTTATGATCCCTGTTCATTTTGGGTGATTGGAACCACGAACAAGCTACACATGCTTCTGATCCGAACCATAGTTTAGAGTCTAACAGTTTCTTTTGTCGGCAGGTTTGTTGCATGGCACGCTTGCTTGCAGATTTGAAGCTTTATGTAATCTTAGACACCAGAGGAACGTGTGTGTCACAGGCTGTGTTAGTGTGTTTATGTCTCCTATTCTAGAACTAGCGAAAGGAGGAGGAGGAGGCCCGGTCTTGTTTTCCACACACCTGAGCTGCTTGTTAACTGAAATCAGATCTACTTGGGAAAGTGAATGAAGTGAGTCCCCCCCCCCCCCCCCTCTGTTGTGTGTTGGGGGCAACAATGTAGAGCAGGGGTTCTTCATTTTCCATCACTGCTCTCCTGATCTGATTTCCTCAACATTTGTAAAATGTTGCACAAAAAGGAGATTTTTTGACCTTAAGAGTTTTTTTTCCTGTAGACCCTATTAGCATATTTCTATGATCACAAACTCACCTTCAAAGCGAAGACCACTGGCATGTTTGTTTCTTAACTGAGCTGTTGAGGTGTGAGGAGGATGGATGTCTGATTTGAATGCTGAAGCTGGTCAGGACACGTTCATGTAAAGAAAACTGCATATTCATTCAATGAAGAGTGTCGATTTGTGTCAGGAGGAATGTTTTAAAATGTGTCTGGCATTTCAAACTGGTCCTGATCTGAGGTCTCTCCAGGCGTAACCTGTGCGCCAAGGCGGCCCTGCCCGTGTTTACACTTCAATAATGTATGCTGTTGTCAAGTACAAGCCCCGAGCAAGTCAGCAACCGTTTGGCAGATAGGACATAACTGTGTTTGATGGCCACCAAACAAAGAGACAATTTTCACAGCTTATACTACAACTAAGCGTTTTCCTTGTTAAGGCATGAACGTATTAGGTTAGTGTGCATTGCAATCCATCACCTGGCATGCCACACCTCAGACATTTTTCTTCCATAGCTTTTTCTTTTTTTTCTTTTCTTTTTACTGAAATTAACTTCAACATCCTTGCGCTGCAGTATGCCCCCCCCCCCCCCCCCCTCCTACCAGTGTCTGGTCTGTCTGCTGCCTCTGCTTGTTTTTCTGCTGCTGCCTACGTCAGAGGCGGTGCTGCGGCAGCATGGTGGTGCTGAGACAGGTTGCGCAGAAGGATGCGACGAAGACTGGATGAAGTTTAAAGATGATGCACAAAGCGCGCACTGCACGTGGCTCCAGTAGAGCTGCATGGCTTAAAAATAGAGCTGCAAGCGAGACACCTAGTTTCTCTGTCTGCGATGCCTGGACGATCTGCATGCTTCTGGCTGTGCATCCAATTCCTCGGTCTCTTCACCTGCATGACCTGTGAGCCAGCCAGGTGAGTCGCGAGGGTAAACATGAGTGTAGTGGGTGTGGCATTGTTCTCTCAGTCTGTATGACCTACTACATATAGGCCTGTGGCAAACAAGTGAGGCAGCTTTTTTTTCCCCCGTTTACTCCAAGCAGCGGAGAGGCAGAGGACGCGGGCTGCTGCCTTCGGCTCGTCCTGGTATTACCGTCATCATTAGTTTAATCCAGGGGATCACACGGCGGCTGCTGAGGTGAGTCAATTCATTCAGTTATACACACTCCAGAGCTCATATATCCCCTTTGATATACTGTCTGTCATAAATATCAATACACTAAGGAATAAGAATACAAATTAAACGATTTAGGCGCACATGTGCAGATGATAGTGTAGTATATAATCTGGACTGCAAATAAACTTTGTCTGAGCCAACATGTGCGCAACATGTTAATAAATATTTCAAACAATATGTTTTGATTCAGGAACCAAACGTGTTCTAAAATAATGAAAGCTGGTCAATACAGCTACAAAATGTGCCTTTCTTTAAAAAAAACAACTTTAGGATTCAGTTTGTTTTATTTACATGAAAAATTGTTTTGTTTGATTATATTGAAAAAAAAGCTGCCCTGTTTCCTATTTATTAGAAACTTGAGCACCTGCACTTTAAGCGCACCTGTTGGCCCCGCCCCCTACCTGTGCAGCAGGATCTGTTCCTGCCTGTGGCTATTACCTTGTTTCTTAGTTTGTTTTCTTCCAATAAACACACTGCTTTGTATCTGATATTTGAAACATGTTACCTTATAAACTGCACCATAAGCCATTCAGATGAGCCTATGTGTAAGCGTTGCCTGCTTAGAAAATTAGAGAGTAGTTTTAGGTCCATGTGGGATTCCCTGGTTTAATGTCATTGGTCTTTCTTTACTACACAACTGGATCCTACAAAACTCTACAAAAGCTTAACCCCCCTCCCCCCATCCTGACACACACACACAAACACACATACACACACACACACACACCTTTTTTCTTATTTAATTCAAGGATACATTTACACTGTGGTTGTCGTCAGGATAATGTTCAAAATGTTTCAAAATCAGTTCATGGACAGTACTCATGAGTAAAGTTATACATGTTGTGTTATTGTGATATACAAGGGTTAAAAAAATCTGTCTGTTTTTTTACCCAAAGAGAGAAATTTCCTTTTCCCAGAGTGTTTTCTTAATTTACCCACTTTAATAAAGGTTGTATCTAAGAAGTTTAATGATGTCGAAAAGTATCTAACTACGCAGACCTTCTCCAGTTATTACAGTGTTGATGAACTTTACTTGAATGTTGGAACCTTACTCCACCCTGTACTTCTGCTTGAATACATTTCAGAGGAAACGCTGAACTTTTTGAAAGCTTTAACGACTCCGTTACTTTGAAGATCAAGGATAAGCTTAGAGACGATATAATCAGTTCACAAAGTATGATGTATAATCACACACAGCGGGATATGAAGTAACACTGAGTAACTTTCCTTTCATCAATGTAATAATCGCCTCAATAATAATGATCCAAACATTCTCACAGAGGTCACTCTTCTGCCTTAAAAATACATACAACCATCAATATTTCGAGTGCAAGTTCCTGCTAATACCTCTGTACTTCTACTAACCTAACATTTACTTTCCAGTCCCCGTGTTTCATCGTTACCTTAAACAGGTTTAAAACTCTTAAATTCTTGTAATCACTCTCATCTCGTCAAAATCTCGCTCTTCCTCCCTCATCCATTTTTTCTTCTTCACATCCCCCTTTACAATATCCCTTTCTTACAGTCGCTCAACACTCAAAACACTAACATGTATTTTCAGTCCAGCTTGCAAGATGAACTTCAAGAACTTCAGGGATTACCTGGCCTGGCTGTACTATCAGTACCTGCTCATCACAGGCATCTACGTCCTGGAGCCCTGGGAAAAATCCATCTTCAACTCGATCCTCTTCTCTGCCATAGCCATGGTAATCTACACCTCATATGTCTTTGTGCCCATCCACGTGCGCCTCGCACTGGAGTTTTTCTCGCAGATCTTTGGCGGCCAGCCTGAGAGTGCCATGGCCCTCATGAACTAAAAGAAGGGGAGTCAAGAGGCTGTGAAAGGGTGAGATTATTAACCACAAGTCCCCAACTCATTTCTCAACTTCTGGAGTTCGTCCTTCTTATAAGACTGAAATCATGAAGATCTTCATGGAATAATCTGGAAATCAGAGCCATACTGTCTTCTTTACATCCCTAACCTTCTGGCCTTACCCCATGGTGTTAGACTCATTATTGTTGCCACCTCGCTTTAAAACAGCTTGTAAAATGTTGTTGGTCCTATTTTGTTTTTTTTCCCGACCACATGTTCTGTGTGAGTGCATCCCACACCGGGGTTTTTGCATGATAGGGTCATAAGTGGGTCATAGCCAGGCCAAATATCACCTGTGATAATTTTGGATTTTACAACTTTAGCTGTTTAAGAAATCACTATTCTTTAATATGTAGTGCACCATTCTGACCCCCAGCCATTTAATATGCACTATTTTTGAATTATGTAATATATTTCTGCTTCAGGTTTTTATAATGGAATGAAAAAAAAAAGAAAAAAGTTTTTGGTATGAACACTACTTCTGCTTGCATGCATTTTACAAATGAGGAATTTCAGGTTGTCAGAATCCTGTCAGTGATGATAATGATTCATTAGTGTGTGAATAATAATTTCCCTGAACTTTTGACTGTTTACTACATGGGGATCAAGTGAGTGGTTTCAAACAGCCTTAGAAAAAAACCCTTCAGAGCAGCAGGTAAGATTATACACCTTTATTGAAGGGCTGAGGAGGACTCTCTGTGAGGTTTAGAATGAACTGGATGTGTAACACTAACCCCTTTAAGTATTCTGTTTATGTGCCACATACAGTAAGTGGCACCATGTTATCCCGAACTGTGAATTGTTCTTTGATCAAAATTTGAGTTTGTACTCATCCCAACATTTCAAGCAAGCACTTAATGTTACTGGTTGATCGATGGTTTTGTATCTGAACCACTATCACCTTTTTTGTATTTGCCATCATGCACCTTGATGCTAACAGGCAGGATTTTTATTGCACATTTCAAGTCACTATATGGCTGATCTTAAAAAAAGAGAGATCACAGAATTACCCAAACTATGCAATAATTAATAGAGAGTCACGGTCTCTTAGTGTTTGTCCTAGGCTTACATTTACAGATTTACTGATCAAAGTGAGTACCATTAGGAATATATGTGTTTCGAGGCCCTATCTTTATCTCCTGTTTTTAACTGTTGGTATGTCCCAAAGGCGTGCTCTGCCCTGAGCATGAGCAAATATTGATGCAGCACGCCTTTGTGTTTTAGGCTTGGCTTTGTTAATGACACAGCTTTTTCATAATCAACATCTGAAGTCAAAGCTGGCACGTATAAAATGTAATAATCAGCAGTCAAAACATCCTACATGGAAAGCCAACATTGTCTTCTTTACCTATTGTTGACCTATATATATGGAACCAGAGAGAGAATGAGTGCTTTGGGCCAAGGGCTCGCTGATCTAATCCTAATCTGTAAATGAACTTTATTTATATGAAATGATATATTTATATATAATGGTAAATGCTTGGCTGGTTACAATGTCAATTACCAAACTTCTTTGATTATTTATATCTGTGTTCTCTTGTGGCCATCAAAGAAACAACACAGAATTTGTTCTTTACTTTATTTCCCCGTCTGAAAAAGCTTTTATATTTTTCTCAGTTTGTGTCATGTCATTTTACTTTTGTTAAAAACGTACTATAGTCTGAGACATTTCCTGTACCTAGAATGAAGCACGCTTTGAGAGGCTTTTTTTTTTCCACCTAAATGAATATTATATTTCTACATCAAAGAAACACATCACTGCAACATAAAGAAAATAAAAACATTTAAAAAATAAAAGCACAATTGTTCTCTTTGTCATCCTAGTTTGTTTTTTTGTATGACTTTCTATGCTTACTGTTTGTTCTTACTTGTGTCCATGCAGCATTTCAAGTCTTGTATGCACTCAGTCTTGCAGGGCTTTGAAATGGAACAGCAAAGGCTTATGGGTGGCATATCCGCGACACAATTAACTGTACCGCATGAAGTGAATTCATACAATAAGAGGCAGAGTCACCAAACCAGTTCTCCCTCGACAGTACAGGAATGAAAACCCGGGGGCTTTGCTTTCTCTGCTGCAGACACTAGGTAACTCGTGCATGCTCACAAAGCACTGTTTGCCCGTATTCTGCCTGTCCACCTTTGTTGGACGCACACAATTTAAATCAGCGCAAAGGCCGACATCCAGATTGTCTTGTTAATAGAATAGAGCATGATTAAGGGTGCTGAGCTTGAACTTGAGCTGCACATGCTAATTTCTTGCAATATTTCCTGAATGGATAGTGGATGAGTGGCTTTTGCTGCTGCAGCGGCAGAGAAACGGGTCAGGTTACTTTGTTAAAATGCCATGTAACTGCACAACTTCATCTTGTTGGAAAATACAAACTGCAACATCCTCAGTTCTCCCCATCCCAACATACAACTGAAGCCCATTCCTCTCCACTTTGTTCCTATTATTTCCCCATTCTTCCTTTCTATTCTTAGTTTCTTCCCTTTCCACTATCATTTCCTTTACCTCACATCCTTTCTTCTCTACTCCTCTCACTTCCTTACCCTTTCTGTATTCCACCTCTTTCCTATCCCTTTCACTTATTTTCCTCATCTTTTTTTTCCCTCTTTCACTTTGTTTGTTCTCTTTTCTTTCATTTTTCCTCCTTTCATTTGATCATCTCCTCTTCTACAAAAAAAAAAAGCAAGTCCTGCTTTTTCTCGTCGTCCTGCAAAGTCAGGTGTTTTTAGGTCTCCATCAGGGTCTTTGAAGAACGGCCCTCTGTTTATACTTCTCATGTTAATTTGTGTCCCATGATGGAAGAGGTCAAAGGTTATCTCTGTGATGACAGGGTGTAAACAAATCTATCTGCAGACTCAGAGGAGCGGTGTATTGTTTCTGTTGTGTTTACATGTGTCCTCTGACAGTTTCCTTCACATTAAACCGAGGGGACTACTGGCAACAGACGTTTCCACACACAGATGTACGTAGGCTAAATGATGCACAGAAAAAAAAACACTCCTGCACAAAAACACAGGTTTCAGTTTACAAGAAAACCCCAGAAAGCGTTCAAATAGTAATACAACTGCTAACATTCAGTAGCTTCTTACACTTATACAAGACATAAATTAACACACACACACACACACACACACACACACACACACACAAACGCACGTACATGAACACACAAAAAAGTGCTATTGTTCAGCTTCTTATAGGTGTGTGTCCATACAATGGTTGTCTCCATGGTAATAACTAGGACTACTGTTAAGCCACAATCATTGAGTGACATGAAGAACAATGATGAAGTCTGGCCAGTTTGTGAGCCACTTTTGCAGAAATAACAGGATAAGAAGATACCCTGCTATCACAAATCACGAGGTCTTATTAATGGGTATATCTGTGTCTGTCGTTATGAAGTGTACTGGGTGGGGAATGAGTCAAACACAATCTTTTAGTTGTTTTTTTTCTATAATTGATTGTATTATTCTGTTGCCACAAAGTTTTATACGTTGTTGTGGATATTAAACTCTCCAAAGTCTCCAAACATGTTGTGTGTAGATCATACACTGATCATCTAATGGGCACGTCTGATATAAATATTCCAGTAACATGCTTGGAATAAATCACATCCGCAACAGCGATCAGGTACTGTGATGGCATCATCATATTCTGTTGTTTACTCTCTACTAATTATTAACATCAGATTTGAAAAAAAGGCAGAAAAGGCCTTTTTGTCCCATGGCATTTACAATGATTGAACAAATATTACCATTGTTCCTTGATCAGATTTGGGAGGAGAATTGGTCTGACACAGCTCCCAGTTTCACAGGGTATCTGGGTTATGAATCAGTCGACATAAATCTGGGAGTGGTTTGTCCTGATAAAAAACTTGAGCCCAGAGAGGCGTGACACCACAGCTGGCGCCAAACCCTGACATGGTCAATGGGATTTCACTGCATTGAAAAACATGTTGTGCTCAACAGCACCTTTTTTTTTTCTTTTTTTTTTTAAGCGCTGGTGCAGAGAAGCATCACCATTATAACCATCAGGATTTCAATGGCTCATCAGGTTAAAGTGTGAATGATGTATAATTTGAATACATACATCAAATACATATATGGATTTTAATTTACTTTCATCAGTTGTCTTAACAATTTCACTGAACAACTCAAGGTCTCTTACCGTTAGGATTGTTCAAGCTAAACACAAGATTGCCACCAACTGGTCAAACATATGAATGATCTTTTGTTCAATGTGCATATAATGACAATGACTCGGATTCTCTGAACAAGGAAAATCAAAACAAGTCTGTGAATCTAGTTGAGAAAGCGGCCTGTTTCACACTGTGGTGTATTTTCTCAGTATGATTAAGTATACTTGAGAGGAATAAAGGGATCATTTCCTTAATGTGTGCAGCTGCTTTAAATGACTTTTTTTTGACACTAGAAATGATTTCTGTGTGAAACACAATGGAAGTGAAACAGAGTGTTTGTAATCACCTTTTCACGTGATATCAAACGTGTGTGATCCTCACATGTTTGTCGAGTCAGATCTTCGACAGGGGCATTTAAGGTCAGTCGTGCCTTTGTGAGGTGTAAAGAAGAAGTGATACAATGAGGCTGCAGCAGGGCAAGGCCTTAGGGAGGCGTGTTGTGTTCCTCGGAGCTGGGGGAGAGAGCAGGTAGAGTAAAGAAGGGGAGGGGGAGCAAGAGGAAGCATAGACTGTGTATTCATGACCCACATTCATCATTACCCCTTGTGGAGGTTGTTCCTGTTCTCTGGAGATAAAGTCATGACCTTAGCGCACTCTAAAAGGAAGCATGACCCTTTGATTTTTCTGAATGGTTTAATTACTATATTGAACTGATCGGCAGGCAGTAAGTCGTCGGTTTAACCATTCAAAAGAGATAAGTCTCACAGTGCTCGCCTCTTGAATTGATTCAACGTTTTGCACCAGGTAACACGAGAAAATTACAGGAACAGAATATGATATTGTTTTTTAATTAGCAATCAAAGAGGTGCTTAGAAGCAGATTTGATTAATTTGCACAGAGCAATGCTAGCTGTTTCCTTCTGTTTACTGCAAAGCACATTTGGTCAGAGAAAGTGTGTCAGTAGAATGTGTTGTTGTACTCCGTCTACATCTCTGACTACATGAGACGTGTACTCACTGCCAGTCGATCGCTTGCCAAAGTCATTAGCTGCTAATGCGGCAGGATCTCGATTTTCTTTGATAAGAGCCCATGGTGAATAACAAAAAACACTCCATTTCCTCAGTAGTATTCAGAGCACCTAATGGGGAATAATCCAATAGTAACATGTTGCTTTGTTGATTAGAAAATAAATCTATAACTTATAGTCTCACCCTCTCTCTAACTCACCCTATACACTCTCTGCTGCTTCGAGATCTACATGAATGGGGTTAATGTAAACCAATCCACCTCCATCCATCCAAGTCGTCTCTGGTCCTCTCTCTGCTTGGTTGCATCTGTTGAGTAAGTTAACTCTTCCTTATCCCTCTGTACTCTGTGTGGATGGAGTCTGAGGGCCGCGACAGTGCTGGTGTTAAATGAACTGACAGGTAAGCGATGCTTGGGTCCTCTGTGGCCAGCTGGGCACTGTAAGCTGACCGCCGCTGTTGTGTGTGGTCTGAATGGAGCCAAGAGACGATGGGGCTTGAGGTCGGGCAAGGAGAACCCCAGAGGAGCCCCTCTCTCTCTTTTTCAGGGCTCTGCTATACATAGCATGCTCCTTTTGTTCATATTTTACGAAGGGTCAAGTTAAGGACGCTTCACCTGTGCTGCTGGAAATAATTACTGCGGATACAGAACATTTTAAGATAGAAGATGAAATTGAATTTAAAATAAGCACAATCTTCTCTCTCTTCATCCATCCATTCAACCAGCACCCCTCTCTGTTTCCCAACTTTCATTTCCCTTTTTCCTGCTCACTCATACCTGGACATGGATCCCTCTAAGGACGTGAGGTCTTTGACAACTGAGGCATGTCCACTGCTCAAACATTCATTGTCACTGGCAAGTTGAGAGTTTCGACAAGACAGCTAGCAGAAAATCACTTTTCTACAAAAAAACCCGGTGGTATCTTGTTACGCCATAAGAATGAATCATTGTCCGGCCACACAGCATGAATCATAGCCAACAAACATGGATGCCAGCAGTCATGGGGGTCATGTGTGGAAAGTCGGTCACAGTGATCAGGCAAGCGTTGCAACTGCACCGATTTGAGGGAGATAAGCTGGTTCCTTTGACAAACAGCTCAGGTTTAGCAGCCGTGGAGTGAGGAGATTATCGGTGCTCTTTAGGATAAAGCTTTCTGCTGGATACTAACCAAATACTTTCTTATGCTGCGCAAGTTTGCAGAAAAAAATTATATTAATGATTAACAAGGTGTACTCTCAAACATCAACTTTACATGTCGAAGAGGTGTGAAATAGATTAAAAACTTCCTGCTTGTAGCATCATGCAGAGTAGTGTCCAACCCTAACCTTGAAAAAAGTTGGTTTGCCCTGGCCCTATTCACAGTACCCTCTTTGCTTGGCTTTGTCCCGCATAAGAGCTTTGGTAGCAAGTTGGATGTTGGAGGAATGCCTCCTGTATCAGGTGACCCATTGCCCCACGGCCTTTGCTCCGCACCTAGCTCGAAGCAACAGGAGTGCTTCTGGTGGGCACTATATCCCGTGTCACAAAAGCACCTTTCTACACAACAGGGGTACAGAGGACGGGCCACAGCACAGTGGTTCTCCTTGGGTCGGCTCCAGCCTGCCGTAGTTAGATTTCAGACCTCCCCCTGTGTCTTCAGCAACCACCCCTCATTGGTGGGGTCTTTCACCCAAGCCTGGCAGAGATATCAGACGGACCTGGAGCTTCTGGTGCTGCCTCCAAGCAAAGGCTACAGAGGATAAATGACCATTCCACTTATGCATAACTGGGTAGGTCTTTTTTATTATTCATTTTTTTTATTATAAACCTAAAGAACAGAACAATGAATGTTAGAATGATGTTAGACAAAAAGTTATATTATTTTATGTGTAAAAAAGGAAAATGTTGATGAGCGAACTGGACTTGCATATCAACAATACCCAAGAAAATGCATGTCTTTTCATTGCAGATTAATATTGATCCAGCCAAATGTAATTGAAAGATGACTATAAGCTTGAATGATTGAGAAACAACATGACTGAAACCTGAAATTGATCATCAAGGGCATGTGCAAGTGGAAATAGAGAAATAGAGAATTAATAAAAAGTTGAGAATGAAAGAGACGAAAAGTAGGATAGTACCAATGTTATAAATTGTGCAATTTTGTCTGAAGAGGTTAAATTGATGGTAATAATTTCAAACTAATCTGTTCTCAGATCCTTGTCAACCATGAGGATAATCTCCTGTCAGTTGACCCTTGCAGCTGTAGTTGTGATTACACTCACTGTGGTGTCCTGCGTTGAGGCTAAGACTACCCCCAAACCAAAGTACCAGTACACTAAGAAGCCCGTCCCTCAGATAACCATGCACAGCCCTGTGACTACCAGCATGCCCAAGACTCTCAAGACAGTCCCGAGCCATAAACCTGTGGAGCCCCAACCCCCGCCTGCCACCGAGAAGACCACCTATCCAAGTCATGCGTTTCCGCAGTATTACTCAGAGGGAACTGAGACCCCTGGTGTTGGTCCAGATAACTACACCCTGGATTATAATGAGTGCTACTTCAACTTCTGTGAGTGCTGTCCACCTGAGAGAGGGCCCAGGGGGCCCAAAGGAGACCGTGGGCTGGCAGGTATACAACTCTTTAATAAATTGACAGAGAATAATACTTTTTATTTAATCAATTTGTTTTTATGTGTGCAGTCAATTCACACAATAGTTAACCTAATCCATGTTTGCTTATTTAGGACCACCGGGTGAAAGAGGGATGCCAGGGACAGTTGGTTTACCAGGATCACAGGGAGTCAGTGGTCCTATGGGGTTAAAAGGTGACAGAGGTAAGTGTAAAACTTTTAAATGTACACATTTGACTTAGATTCTAATTTTTTTTTATCATTTATTGCAAGAATGCAGCCATGCCATATCATGCATAGTGAGTATGCCCTAAAATGTTGGTTACTGATTGTTTTTATGTTTCTAGTCATTGGCTATGCTTTAAATGAGGAAGCAAGATAAGCTGTACTGCAGCTGAGCTTGTAATGGTGTCACCAATTTAAGCGCCATTCGGTACATTTTTCAGGTGAAAAAGGTGACAGAGGAAGCAGCGGTACAGCAGGACCACCAGGGGTGCCTGGGAAACCAGGACAAAAAGGTGAAAACTTGTTCAGGGGATTGTTGGGTTCTTTCATATTGTTGCCAGACTTTCATTTTTCTGACACAGTTTCTCTTAACTTGCAGGGGATGTTGGCTCAAAAGGTGTGAAAGGAGAAATAGGGTTGCAAGGACTCAAAGGAGGTAGTGGGGAAAAAGGGGAACCTGGCCTGAATGGGACTGCTGGTGAGAAAGGAGAACCAGGTAAAGAGGGCCCAGCTGGACCTCCAGGAGTGACTGTTGAGTCAGGTCTTAAGGGAGACAAGGGGGATAAAGGGGAGTGTGGCACGTTTGGGGAGAGAGGGCCAAAAGGTGATAGAGGGGACACAGGGGCTCCAGGCATCCCAGGAGGGATGGGCATCCCAGGAACTAATGGCAAGCATGGAACTCCAGGTCCTGTCGGGGTACGAGGGGATCCTGGCCTTCCTGGCCCACAAGGAGAATCTGGGGTCAGAGGACCTCAGGGACCAATTGGGATAAGAGGGATGCCTGGACCAAAGGGGGACAGAGGTTACCCTGGAATGCGAGGCGATCGGGGCATTCGTGGAATGAAAGGAGCTAAGGGATCAGGGCTTCCTCTGAAACGATCTGCATTTAGTGTAGGTATTTCCCCAAGAAAGTCCTTTCCTCCCTCAGGCTTCCCAATCCGCTTCGACAAAGTCTTCTACAACGAAGAGAACCACTTCAATGTCACTTCCAACAGCTTCACATGTGTTCATGCGGGGGTTTATGTCTTCTCCTTCCACATCACTGTACGGAATCAGCCTCTGCGAGCCACACTAGTAGTAAATGGATCACGACGGGTAAGGACACGGGACTCTCTGTACGGCCAAGACATCGACCAGGCGTCCACTCTGGTGGTGCTGCAACTGGTGGTAGGTGATCAGGTGTGGATGGAGACCCTTAGAGATTGGAATGGGGCTTACGCGAGCAGTGAGGATGACAGCATCTTCTCTGGATTCCTGCTTTACTCAGACAAAGCCTGAAACCTCCACTGAAAACTTCTTTTTTTTATTGGACCTTTTCAATTTGACTCTTTTTTAACTGCAAAAAGGCCAAATACTGGTGGTGCTTATGTAAATGCTCATTATTTATGCATTGGTGGAAAATTGCATAATTGTATACAATACAATACTGCACACTAGTACCGAATGGTAACATCAAAGCATTTTTTGTCTTGTTTTACCACGTTGAAAAACCAATGTGTACAGAATGCTTGTAAACTGCTGATTAAGTGATTTACATTTTGATCTACCTTGAAGAGGGAAATCAACACACCTCAAAGTTTCTACACTTGGGTTAAGGATCTCATTCATAAACAAACTATCAGTAGGTAGGTAACTGAATAAGGAAATATAATATTAAGATTTAAAAAAAATAGTAAAGTAAATGATGGCATAAGTGTCTATATTAATCTTAAATCAAACTTTTCTGAACGATTTGATTGGACAAGAGGCATTTCATTAGAGTCGCCTGGGACTTTTCACTACATGTATTCCTCAGCCCAGGGTGTTCTAAATACTGTTAGTTAACATGACAGCAGAAGGCCTTTGCTCTTTAAATACTCTTATTTCTCTGGTTGCATGATCATTTGAATCAAACAGATAAATACATGTAAGAAAAAGTAAATGGTCTGCAGTACCATGTAAACATACACTAACTAAGTAGTGAAAGTGCAGAAACGGCCCAAGTGTGATATTGCCAAAACCATTATTCCACTGTATGCATTTAAATTTTTTTGAGTGATTGTGATGGTCCACATTCTAGACAAGGTGTTGTGTAAAAATATACCTAAGGTAGGTGAAACAATTTGCACGAGTTATTGTTATGTCTCTAACCAGTGCACCTAAAGCATATTCAGGTGTGCAGAGTTTTTTTCTTCTTTTTTCTTCACCTTTTGTCCACTCCAAGCACAACACTGTTTCTCTTTAACAATACACTCTGCCTTTACTCTTTCAAAGTCATATGTCTGTATTTATTGATAATCTCTGTTTAGTTATCCTTCAGTTTAACAAACATGAACCCACGCTCTAAACTTGTCTGACCCAAAAGTGTCCCCTTCGCTCATCAAATTCTGCTGCCTATTTTTTTCTTCTGTTTTGTCAGTCTGCACTCCATTTCTTGCTCCAGCTACACCATCATCGTCACCGATGACCTTTGATATCTATATGTGATTAAAAAACGTAGACAGACATTTCTGATGTGTGTTAATTCTGCAGAAACGATTACTGTGACCTATAACTTTGTTATTATTCTTGATACTTATAATGTGTAAGAAGAATTGCTTCATCTTTTTTAAAAAGGATACGTGTTCTTTAAAATAAACCAAGTACTCAATTAATTCATTTCATTAATTGTTTTAATCATTTATTGAAACCTTTATTTGTAGTAACCAATACTGCTGATCCTTTTAGTTTTTACAGATGAGATGATGTATAGAGACACGAGAAAGGATTTAATCATTAATAATTGTTAAATGAACATTACACAACTATTATATATATAAAAGTGTGCATTTGCAGTCCGTTGATCCTGCACTGTATGCAACATGAAGAATAGATAGCCAAAGGCGTGGCAAATATACTCTCTTCTGTAAACACATATCTATGTCACAACGGTCAAAAATGTGTGTGAACATGTTAATACAGGACACCGGATCCCTCGGGCATGTCCCCAGATCCCTCGGACCAGTCACCAGATCCCTCGGACCAGTCACCAGATCCCTCGGGCATGTCCCAAGATCTCTTGGACCAGTCACCAGATCCCTCGGGGATGTCCCAAGATCTCTTGGGATTCCCACCAGATTCCTTTGGCATGCCAGCAGGTTCTCTAGACAACTCAGCAGATTTGTCATGTAATTTGACAGGTTTGGGGAGAGTTGTTTGTTTGATTGGATGGACTGTAGATAACAGAGTGCTGGGCGGTAATTGTGAGGGGTTAAGCTGAGAAACTGAGGATTTGGTGCTCACATCAATAGGTTGTATGACAGAGGAAGTTGCTGTGGATCGTTGAGGGGAGGTTTTGTCCTTGGTTGGCTCAGCTGCAGGAGACAGGGAGCAGTCTGACAAGGAGATTCGGGGAGCTAAGGGCCATGATTCTCTGGGATGAAGAATTGGAGGCATCATCGTCTGAGACCCTAACAGGTAAGAGACATTTACCCCAGAAGTTACAAAAGTGCTGCGCAGTGTTCATGATTTTCACATTCAGAAAAGGATTGGAGTTTCAACTTTTAGTCGAGGCAGACAGCAGGTGAACTTTACTTCTCAGTACCTGTCATTTGTCCAAAGGCTTTGGGACTACTCCACTTGGAGAGGCCCAATTGAGGCACTCTGGCCTTGCATCTGTAGTTGCCTGGAGTCCGTTTGACCAGATTATGGTTCTCAGAGGTTGCTGTTCCCAGTTGGATGTCACTCTCATAGAAATAGTAGTGTACTGGGGGGGCAGGAGCAGGGGCGTTGTATTGGTGATGGCAGATAAGCTTCATCTTTTTTTCTGGAATCAGGTAACTGTCTGCAACAATCTCCAGAACTGGTTGTGATAGAACCTCTGACATAGAAACCAAAGAAGAGAGGACATTATTGACACATAAGAATAGTTTAAAAATATTCTCTAGAGAAAAATATTTCACCTATTCTCTGTCAACACTCTGAGGATCAGAGTTACATGAGATGACTGATAACACTATAATGCCAGTATGCTAAATAGGTTGGTACAAAAAACAGGATCAGTGAGAGATGTTAGTAGGTGGATTGTTATCTTGGACCATTGCCAGGCTATGTGTCGAGCTAAACTGACTTTCTGCTGGCTGTAGTTCTACATCTACCATTCAGTATATATGTTAAAATAACAACTATTGGCATTTCCAATGGGTATGTGGGTCTATTTCTTTGCCAGATGCAAAACTACTCAGAGTCTGTAAAACAAGACTCCAGTCAGTTACCCAAATCACATCTAATCTTTTAAAAAGTCTACCACATACCATCAGCAACCATGCATTTTTGTTCCAAGGATAAACCTACAAATTGAACAACACAATCTGATAGCAGTATCAATCCTTTCACTATAGGCAGGAAAGCAAATTAGTGCATTTCCTACTATATCAACTTCACACGTGACATCCAAAGAAGAACCAGTAGTACCAGTTCATAAACTTACCTAAGACCTGAACTGGAGCTTTAGCTGAAATCACAGAGCGTGTTTGTCTGCCTGCGTCCCAGGAAGCCCTGCAAGAGTATCGCCCTTGGTCCTCAAGAGCCATGATGGGCAGGTGAAAAGTTGGGTCGAGGCCCCTTTGTCTCATGACTTCAAACCCATTTTTGTACAGGATCACCTCATTAAGTTGGGGTTCACCTCGGACTCTACACGTTGCCTTCAAGGTGTTTCCAACAAGGCTGGGATTAGGCGAGACTTGCAAGATAGCCCATCCTCCTGCAGAAAATTAACAGAGAAAAAAAGTGATCTTAAAATAACATTCTTTAGTTTTATATTGAATGGTGACAGCATGTTTTAAAACCAGCCAACCAATTTATCATTTCAAAAAAGATTGAGAGCTTTCTTTTTCTATTTTCAGTGTGTGCACGAGTCACAAATGTAAGAAAAGAGTGGAAAAATACATTTAAAAATGGCAAATTAAAGAAATTTGAAATTATGCTTGTGACCAATATCTTACCGTCCACATTGATCTCCACAGGCAGACTTTGAAGGGTAAGTATGTCTCCCACTAATGTCTCCCTCACACCCTGGCAGTAATATTTTCCACTGTCTTTAACCTTGGTATCCCACAGATGGAGGTGCTCCCCAACCCAATGGAGCTTCTCCGATCCCCTGTACCACAGGTAATTCCAGGATAATGTGTGGACAATAGGAACGCTGCATTTCAGCTGGACATTCTCCCCTGAGAAGATCCTTGAATCCCCCGACACCAACTCCACTCGAGTTCTGAATGAGGTATAAGGTGCAACTACTGCATGGAGACATAAACAGTACATTTAGTTTGAATTGGTTCTATTGGTACAGCATACCGCAGGCCTTAAAAAAAGTTAACATTAGGCTACATATTTACATCATACATTTCTTGAAGTAAATTATAAGACTTTATGGTACTTACCCTGCGGTGCAACAAAATGTGGCAGCGCTAAAAGAACTGAAAACAGGAAAACAATCCTGCATGAGACAAATTAAAACACAATGTTGAATAAGTGGGTTAAAAAAACTAATGAGAACTCACCAAGAAGAGAAACGACTGTGTCCATTTTTATTTCTCTGTTACTGAGAAATAGAAACTGTGGGCAAGACTTTTATTTGTAGTCAGGAGGGAAGTGAAAAAGTTTATTCAGAGCTATGACACATGGCAAAGGAAATCCCCTTTCTCCAAAATAATGTTTTTTTGGAAAGTTTTATCTTTAAACAATCGATGTTGCAACCTGATGTTGTCAGCTGTTTTATTTTCATTGTATTGCTCTCACAGTTATTTTCTGCCTTTGACCCAATTTGATTGACATCTCGATCCTGCAAATGTTTTTGCTGTATCTGTACTTTGAAACTAATCCCTAATGGATAGGTTAACAATTGTTTACGCTAACTCAGCCACACATTTTGTGACAGTTCAGCCAAAGTCAAGAAGTCTGCTTAAGACAATTGAACTGTCTATTTAGTACAAACTTTTGTTCCTGCTTTGACAGTGTTTGTTGAACCAAAGTGTATTGTATATAAAGGAAAGAACTTTGGTTTGAGATTCTTCTAACTCAGACTTCTGAAGCATAATCTTATCTTTTAAAACACAGAACAAAGACTTTGGACTGTGTTTATTTATTAAATACATATAACAGTTACAACAGTTTCCTAGGTCTGCTTCAGTATGACCCTTAATGACCCTAACCATGACTTCTCCCATAAGCCAGTAATTCCAGGAGTGTTATATTTAGTTTCCCTGATGCTACTCTTTTCATTTATTCCCATGGTACATAAATGTAACACACTGTTTCTTGTTCTGTCTCATCCTCCTTCTCTGAGATTATTTCTTCTTTTTATTGTTGTAACTGGTTAGTTTTGTTGTTCTTTGTTGAGCATCTGAGGATTCAGAAAAGCGCTATGTAAGTCTAATAATGTATTATAATCATGATCAAAAGTAGTCCGTCATTGGGGAAACTCTTTGTTCAATCCTAACTTACAAAATCATGACAGTCATGTGAACCATAAAGAGTAAGTGCACACGTGCGTTTTCATCTTTTATTAATCATCACACACCCAGAGATGCAAATAATCCAATACTGCCCCAATAAGTTACATTTAAATAAAAGACAGTATTGAGATACTTTCTTCCAAATGATACATTAACAAACCTATAAGGTTACAAAGATGTTTTCATCGTAATGGCTTCTGCATACAGTGCAATATGAATGTATTCAAGCTATTGCATTAAGAGTCTTTGTCTCAAACTATAATTGGACAGCAAATGCACACGGAATATACTGTTCCAAATAAGAGTCTCAAAAAAATGATTCAGACCTATAGTAACAGAAAGAAATCTTAACTCATGAGCAAAGAAAAACCACCGACATAAAACTCTCCCAAACATTTCTTCAACTACATGACTGCAAAACACACAGAAGACATTCATCTGTGCTGCAACAGCCTTCAACACTGTTTTCACCAATGGACCTTTCTATTCAGTATTACAGTCTTTGCTACCTTCATTCCATGAACTCCACAATTAAAGAGCATTCAAACTACACTGAAGAAAAGTGCTTCAACATAAATTAAATTGGTCGTGTCATTATTTTCCTGAAGTGCAACAAACAGCCTTAGGAGTGATTTTTAAGTCCCGTGTCTAAGGGTAAAACAGCATCATCTGTTTTCACATATACCAAACACACCCACTCTGATTAAAAACTAAAATTGCCTTTAACTGATTTTTTTTTATTTATTTTTTTAAACTGGACATCCTATGAAACCCTTCAGAGAAGATGAACTAACGGATGAAAATGTTCCTATATTATCATTAGATTCATGTAACAATGTCTTCAAGCAATGTTCATTAACTACTACTGTAAATATTACAGGATTAATGTTTTCCTATTGAATCCAAAAGAATTGGTACCTGCCACTCTATAGAAAAATAAAATCACTTCTGTACATCCAGCTTACGCCTGGATTGAGAGGTCTGGCATAAAAACAAGACTACGATATCCTTAAGCGGAACTGGAGGACTTCATGACTCATTGATTATTAGCGGAACATGTCCATGCAACACACGCTCTCCTTCACACACACACACACTTACTGGCATGCACAACTGCCACACCCGCACATCTCTTTCTTTCCGGATATTTCTCAGAAGGACGGGGGTGGGGGTGGGGGTGGGGGTGGGTTTACATTAATACAGCACAAATCACGATCAGTGATGTAGGGGATAATTTTGGGTGGGGGAAGTTAAGTTTCGCACAACTCAGATTTCTCAGCTTCCTTTGTAAAAAAAAGAAAAGAAAAAAAAAGCCCCGGATTTGAGTGAAATGTTATTCCATGTTACTCGAGCAGTAGCGCCCTGTGTGCCGCTTTAAGTCTCCACTTCATCTGGAGACTTTTTAACACAGTAACAGAAATCTTCTGTGAAGGATTAAATATACAACAGAAGGATATTTAAAAAAAACACATCAAACCAGTTATGCAGTCTGCACAAACGTTACAACAACTCCAAGGATGAAGTACTGAGGTGCGGACGATGATGTGTTCGGAGAGTTTGGAAGGGAGTCTTAGTTTCTGCTGTTTTGTATTTAAAGGAGCCAGTTTAGGTGGTCTGGGCATCGTGTCAGGGTGCCTCCTGGATGCCAAACTGTGTAAAATTTAGAGCACAGTGGGAACAGGGAGGAGGGGGATTATATTTCCCAAATAGCCTGGGAACACAAAATGACTTGGCTGAGTCAACACGTCTTCTCCTAAAACTGTAACAGAAGAAGAAAGTGAGGGGTTTACCAAAGATGCTGCACCGGGTCCTTGACTTAAGGACTACAACAATATGCAGGGAGTGATCTATGCCTCTTGGGACATTTTTAAGAATTGCATCTTTGCTGTCTTACAGAAAGTTTAATGAGAAGATCAAAAGACCAACCGAATGTTTGTCCATCAACATTAAAGCTGTAGCCATGTTGTTGCTAGTTCTGCTTTATTTCCCTGTTAAATTGTTTAGCACCAATACACCAAGTCAAATTCCTTGTATGTGTAAATGTACTTGGCAATAAACCCCGATTCTGATTCTGATGAGACCATTAGTTTAGCACAAGGACTGGGAGCAGAGCTAGATCACCAAGAGACAAAAAACAAATACTGTTTTAACTAAATCCTTCTTGTAACAAATCAAAAAAATAAATCGAATGTGGTCATTGCTAAGTTGTAATGGTTTGGGCTTTTTACCTATGTGAAAAGCTTGGCTAATAGTTTCTTTCTCATCCAAGCCTTTCACATGGAGGCCAAGCGAAGCTAAGCTAACCGGCTACAGCTTCATATTAACGATAAAAACATAAGAGAGGTCATTCATCTTCTTCGCTCTCTGCTAGAAAGTTTCAGACTATGGTTCACAAATGTTATGTGTCATTTTAGGGCCTTCAGGACAATGCATGGATGGAATAGAGATGTCTGGAGTGAAAATAGGATCCATATTGGATGCCTGTCGTATGTGCACATGGACAGCAAAGGGGGAAGGAGGAGGGTGGAGTGAAGCCTCTTCAGGATTTTTTCTTTTGTTAGAGTAGAGCTCTTCACATCAACCAGCAAACACTTGCGGTTGTAATGGTGGCGGCAGGAGCTCGTTCTCCACATTATCTGCGTCGATTGCTGACGATGCGCGGACGTTGTCCCACTAGCAGTGGATGCAGTCGGGTCTTTTGTCTCTGCAGGGAAGCTCTCAAGGACGCTCTGCACCTTCTGCTCCACTTCGTCCGTCCAGTCGATGAGATCGCTCTCCATCTGGCGAGCCTTCTCCATGACCCGCTCCTGCCGTTCCCCGAGCCCCGTCAGCAGGTCGAGCCGTTTGTGGACCTGACTGAGAGCTGCGCTGCCCGGGGAGCAGGAAGACGCCCCGGAGGCCTGGGGCCAGTTAGGGGATGCTTGGCCCGACATGTAGAGCTCGAACTCCTCTGAGCTTAGGTTCAAAGACTGACCGTCTAGCTTCTCAATGAAGGCCACAGCACAGCACTGGTGAGAGGGGATACAGAGGGTTATTAATACAGAGCTTACACACACACACACACACACTTATCTTCATATTACTGGACAGCTACAAGTCAGGAGAAACAATCAATATGTGGAAAGGGAAGTTAGATGATGCTTCTTAAACACATTCATAGATTTAAAACTTTAAACAAAGAGGTGGTCCATACAAATGACCCATCAACATCAACAGATTTGTTTTATTAAATCATTTGTCCACCCATTTTTACAACATTTACATATGAATAAAGTAAAAGTGGGACCATGGGTTAGGGCACATACCATTTGTGTTAGGGGACATTAACTGCTCGTTAATTTCCATATCTATCCCCTCTCATCGCTTTATTGTGTCTCTCTATTGAAACATCTTCAAACATCCTCCAAAAATGTATCTAACCTAAGTATCTACCAATATATCGAAGGTCAAGACTTTTGACATCCAGACTCATTCTGTTTTCAAACTTTCTTTTACCCCTATCTAAAGCGAACAGATACAAACACATCAGTCCTGCAAAAAGTCCTTTCATGAAGGACACATAGTTCAGTTTTTCTTAAAACTGTTTTGATGATTTTGGAGGCCCTTGTTTGTGTTTTTGGCTGAACTGAATTGAATATACAGAGATGAAATGAAATTGTCAAAATATTAGAACACCTCTCATTTCAACACAGCAAAGACGACACATGCAATATGAAGTAACGTCGACCAATCAGACACAAACACAACAAACCACATAAATGCAAACACTCATGTTCTAACTGTCTCACCAGATTGGTGAAGTAGTAACCATCCTCTCCAGTCATCAGCCTGCTGGGGTTGCTGAAGCGGGTGATGTACTGGATGTTGGACTGCAGCCGCGGCGGATTTGCTTTCAGCACAATGTAGATGAGCGTAGGGAGGAAGTCATCGGCAGACGCGGCCTCTTTCTTGCTGACTTTGATGGCGTTGAAGATGTGCTTGCTGCAACGGGTGATGCAGGCCAGCTTTTCCTTGGGCACACGCTTTGAATCCATTTCAATCACATCTTAAAAAAGAATGCAGCGAATCAGGGGGGGGACAAAGTGTTTGTTTGAAAATCTGACCTGATCTCAACCACCAAGATAATAAGACAATGCCCAACTATGGCCTTGAGAAAATTAGACCTAATGACACTTACCTGTGATGGCTTTGACTACACTATCAGACACCTCCGGGATCTCCTCTTCTACAGGAACACAGAGCATCTCAATGGTGACCCAATGCAAGGCTCTGCAACAGAACACAAAAAGAAACCGTCCTGTATATCATTATGTGTACGTCATTGTTTTATTGCACTCAGAGGGAATGTAAAGAAATCAATGAAGGCTTTTGGGTCAACTTTTATTTTGCTAACCGGATTCTCTTTTGAATGGCCAGGTCTTTCTTCTCATCGTCTGTGGTCTCAGGACAGAAGACTTCCTTGTAAAGACGAGTCATCATGTACTTCTCTACCTCATCCATAACGCTCTCTACGTGATCTGAAGAACCTAGGACAGGCATGCAAATAACAGAGACGTTCTCGGGTTTTATGCTCTGTACAACATCTGGAATATTCATTATTTATAGCGGAGTCCTCTCATGAGGAGACATTAAGCAGTACCTTTGAACTGGGTCTGGAGGCGATCAGAGAGGCTCTGGTAGAAGTCCTGCACACACTCTGACAGCTCATCAGCACCCATGTCCTGAAAAAGGAAAGGGAGGAATCGAGTAGGACCTTAATTATTTGTGTCATGGCTTACAAATAAAAGAATAGTACAGAGTAGACACAGCTACATACAGATGTATTAAGCATGAACTAGACAATGATTATTCATTTTACCGTCATTTTGAAAAAAAATAATAATAATAATTAAAAAAATTCATGAATGAAAGAGAACATTTTCAAAATATGTGTTTTCCTTTGAGTGGGGTAAAGATGTGCGACAGTCAGATATCAGATATCAGAACAAAACTTTAAGGTGTTAGAAAATAACTGCAAAGTTGTAAACAAATCACAGCAGGTGGTTATGCAATGGTGCAATGTGTAAACATTGATGGACAGTAGTCATGTGTCACCGCTTTAATTCATTGGAATTTATTAGTATTACTAAAAGTTCACATCAAGTGAAAACGCAACCTTGAAGACAAAACGACCATGGGGACACAATTTGTTAAAGGGATGTCTAGACAACTATTAAGCTGTTCTTACAATCTCACTTCTATCCACTTTGGCTCACCCGCTTATAGACCATGCTCTCTGTAAAGGCCCGGCACTGTTTGAAGATCTCCCTGCCAGACTTGAGAGGCTTGAGGAAATCAATGAACTCTCGGGTCGCATGGTCGCTGTCAACGGAGGAATGGCGGCCCGTAGAGGAGCTGGGGCTTGGGCTGGCCTGTGCGTCGAAAGGAGAGTCTGGGGGGGGGGGAGACATGGAATGATGCTTGAGCCTTCAAAAACAGTTTGGACTGACAATCGCTGGCAACCTCATATTTTCAAGTTACAAAACTAGGAAGTGGTTTATGAATACAGATTATTAGGCAAAAGTTTCAATGACTCACTCTGGTTTTGTTTCTCTATATTTTTTCCAGTAAAACATGCCAACAGTACCAGAGGCAGGCAGGAAAATTGATCAATTCAGCATAAAAATAAAAAAAAACTATTGCCATGACTTGATAACATCATGTATCGATTAACTAACGAACAATACTCTAAAAATAATGACTGAACACTGTGCAGTTTAATGTGTGTAATACTAAAGTACCCTTTTTCGGTGGTGTTTTTGTGGAAGGACTAAAAAACTTTGTGACGGTATGGACTTTGCTCGACTTCTCCTTAGTTTTTCTTTCCTCGAACTTGCTGAAGGGCGTGATGGCCGACTGCTGTGATTGGGGCTTCTGATGCCTGCTTGCATAAGCTTCCTCTTCCTCTCTCTGCAGCCTGGAAGGGAAATGACATTTTAACATCTGTAAGATGGACACTACAGCGTGACAACATACTGAGGAGTAAAAAAAAAAATAAAGCAATAAAAAAAAGGACAGGGATTGCAACACAGGGGACAGAATGAGAGACTAACTTTTCAGCGAGCGCCCAGTCTTCTTGAATCTGCTTTTGCTTTTCTCGCTGGTTTTCTTCTCGCCAGCACTTTGAGCAGAGGCCCTGCCAAGCTGTGTTGCCATAGAAGCCACATCCTTTCGTGCAGAGCAGCTCTGATTGGTCCAGGTGGATCCCGCGCCGCTGGCTCATCATCCTTCTTCACCAAAGTTAAGCGAGACAGAAGAGAGTGAGCAGAGAGTTTAAACGTGTGAAAAAGAGAAACCCCTCTGCTGCTCCTCCCTTTAAAATCTCATATTTCACGATCAAAAACTTCGTTGACTATTTAATCCAAATATCTCCACATTTCTCTTAACAGACAGAGTAATGTAAAACAACAAGATCTAAAATATCAAAGCTAATCAAAGCCTCTACTGCTTTTTTTTTTTAATGTATCTTCTGTGAGCAATCTCCAACTTTGACCTTTCTATTTGTGAGCTAATATCAAGAAGCTGCTTCTCACAGCACTCAGGTGATGTTACCTGAAACACACTGAGGTATAAACTGTAACAAACACGTCCTGTCACTCTACTTATATAGGTGTAACGTTTGAAAAGGTCCGAAACTTTTCGTAACAGCGTATCATACTAAAAAAAAAAAAGCGAAATACAGCAGCTAGTCTGAAGCTATCTTCCACTGTTTACTTTAGCTCATTTCAGAGCTAGGTAACCTTAGCTGAGTAGCTCATTTAAAAAAACGATGATCGAGGTTGGATGCGTTTATTTTTTTTTTTTAAGTCAACACACTGTCTCATGTCGCAGAGTAAAATAACATAAAACAACCTTGTCGTCGCTACAACTCCAGCCTGCTGTTGATGGATGTTTACACTAGCCAAGCATCCAGCTAGTTTTCTTCTACGACCATTTTGTCTTGTCTGTTGTTTCTTCTTCGTTGGAATTAAAATACGTCACCAAATAGATGAAATACGGTTTAGCGCCATCTAGTGCTAGGATAGGATAGGATAATACTTTATTGATCCTCCAGAGGGGAAATTCGGGCGTTACAGCAGCACAGACAAGAAAGCTCAACTACACATTAAACAGAATAGATAGATAAATAAAAACAGGGGGTATATACAGTACAAAATGAATGATGAAGTTAACTGGGGGGGATTGAGAATTGAGACAGTATTTGCAGAGAATGACAAGATAAAGTGATTAAAGTGACTTGGTATGATAAATAGCAGCAAGTAATGTAAACAGCAGAGAAGAGAGGCAGTGTTGTACCACAGTAATGCAGAGCTGTAGGTGAAATGCAAAAGTTCATATTCCTAAGAGATGTGGGGGAAATCATTTTCACAAGACTTACTCTTCTACCAATCAAAATTAGCCTCCTTGCCAATTTCTGTGAGGCTATCTGACTTCTTATGTAGGTTATTTTTTGCTGTGTGTGTTCACCTATAGCTCAAAGTCAACATCACTCTTCAGAAACACCATTAGCTGGTAATACTAATTAAAAACTAAAAAGAAAAACAAACAGGAAGACAGATATCAGCTCAGAAGTGGTCCAAAGTTTTTTTTTTTATTATTGGCCACAGTACATTAAGTGTAATGTAAAACTTTGCCAGAGGGTGAGGTCAGAGTAAAGGTCCTGGGAAGGGTTTACTACGTTGAGATAATCAGTATTCAGATATCAGCCTCTTCTGATATTTTATGTGTGATGTGTCGTAATCAGAATCAGAGGGCAACAAGAAGGTAAAGGAAGGGATATGAAATGCACCATGTAAACTGAGTGTTTATTTGAAAAAATAAGTCTAAAGAAAAATGGTTTATCTAATACTAGATTACTGGGAACCATATATGGCTGTACAAAAAAAATGTTTATAAAGATATTTCACTGCACCCAGTGTTATTCTGTGGATGTATTTAGGATGTTTAAGCTTTCATGCAGATAATAACCGTTGCTCAGTTGAATTCCCAGATTCATTCATATTCTACCAACCAGCTTGATCATCTTCATCTTCCTTTTTATAAAAATAAACACGGTTAAGTTTTCCCTCAGATATCTTGGGGCACAAATAATCCACAAGGTTTAAGTTTTGCATATCTATATCTATATCTCTATATAGTCTATATAAATATATATATATTTTCCCATTAACTTACTCATTCATACCTATTTCATTGATTAGCTGATAGTGGGTTAAATTTTCACTCTTTTTATTGTGTGTGTGTGTGTGTGTGTGTTTATACGTGTATATTTAATTTTGTTCTGAAATTGTGTAATTCTATTTGCTTAGTTGTTTTATTTGTCTCTTAAGAGGTGAGGTCTCTTGTATAAGCCAGTTGGCTTCTTGACCTCTCCTGACACACCTTCATAATTTTTTTGTTATCCTATTTGATGTATTCTTATATATGTCTGCTAAACAAATAAATAAATAGAATAAATAAATAAATGTCAACACTATTCTAAAGTTGTAGCTGGTCGAGGAAGAGCTATTGAAATATAAGCCTTTAAACTAACTCCATAGTTGAATCCATTATTTTTTCAATCCCCTGCTTAAAAAGGTTTAACAGTCTGAGGAAGACACAAAGCACCTCAGTCGTTAATAACAGGTTTGTTGTTGTATCTGTTCCTCGCTTTATGCCTGCAACTTTAGGGGCGGTTACTTTCAGATGTGTTTGATGACGTAGTACAGAGGCCACTGAGCCAGATGTTTCCGTGTTGTTTGGAGAAACTTAGGATTTCTTTTTTTTGTTGTTTTAGCATGTTGCTTGGATGCAACCAGGTAGGCTAACAACAACAAACGAGAAGTATAGTACTCGAGGACAACGTGCATAAGAAAGACTTTACGTGAGGAGTTTATGAAAGAATCTAAACTCGTTGCAATTTTGTTAAGAAACGATTTGGTGACACGAGGATTTGGAGTGATGGCAGGTGAGACGCTTTATGGACTTCAATTGCACTTAAGCAGCCAAACAGAACTTGGAAATTGCAAGTCAATTTACGAAAGGTACAGCAAGCATGAGAGTGATCTATGGGAATATGATGACAGTAAAGAAGGACAGATTTCACTTTCATTTGCGCCCTCTTTGACCAGTCTGCTGCAGCCAAACAATCCAATGACTTAAACAAAATAGTTCAAAATGAAGGGCGTGGCCATATTCCGCACACTGCTGGGAAACATGAAGTAAGTTACTATAACTCAGCCAGGACAAAGGCAAGAAAGAAACAAACTGCAGAATTTAAAAATAGCATAATCACTTTCTGAAAATAGTGTTCACACATATTTGTTACATGGACTTCCTGTTACATCCTGTAGGTATGATTTAGCCCACTTTCTTTTCTTCTGTAATGGTTTCAACCTGACTCTTCCACCTACACTTTTAAGTTTCATTTCTAAAGAAAAGATCAAATGGATTTGCGAATTTAATAACAATGAACTCATGGTTTGCAACTTTCGCCCTCATCTTTAGATTACTTGGGCAACTTAATAATTATAAATCAAATATGAGTCAGTATTAATACTTTGTTTCCCTGACAGTAAAATAAAACTTGTAGGCCATTGGCTGGCTATTTGATAAAGTTACAGTAATTTGTTTGGTGATTTAAAAAAAGGAAAGCTGAATCAACAATCAACAGTGAGTTGTTGCTATCATCTCTGAGACAAGCTCACAACATGAATCCCCGAGTTGAGTATGACTTTATTTTTGACCTGATATCTGTACATATTAAGATTATCGATGGGAGTTTGTTGCTCAAGAGAAGCTAGAGTATTAGTTTATTTTCACAATGTCTCCAATCACCTTATTTTGAAAGGTATAAATTCCATGTTTCATTTTTTTTTCACCTAGATAAGGAGCTCGCCCGCGTGAGGAACAGGTTTGTGGATAAGGCCACCAAAGAACTGATAAATCAGCTCCTGGACGACATTTTGGAGGATGAAGTCCTGAACGAAGGGGAGAAAGACTCGATCCTGGAGGAGAACGTGAGCAGAGCGGACAAGGCACGCTGTCTCATCGACACTGTGAAGAAGAAAGGAGACGCAGCCAGCAGGAAGATGATCACTCACCTACAACGTAGAGACCCTACACTCTACTCTGAACTGGGTTTTTAACCAGGTGAGCTGGCGTATTACATCAAGCGGGCCAACAAGTGAGAATGTATGCCCCACGTCAACAGAATGCAGACTGTGCTTCAGTGACGCTGAACATGTTCCTGCTTTTGTTGAAGTCTGGCCTTACATCTTTCACTTCTTTGTATCACTCCCTCTCCAGCTGTTGTTCCCTGCATGGTAATGCATATTAAAGCAAACATTACCACACTATAACAGGGGTGAATAGTATATTGGTCAGGGACTATTTCCTGCTGTGGATTCATATTTCAAGAAGCAGGATGGTACATGTAGGTTTGACTCAAAATAAACAGAGGAGAATGTTCATTGAATTAAGAGAAAACACATGAATACAGTCCAACAGTTTGGATCATTGATGTTTTGTTTTTAAAAATTGTTTTTGGTCAACAACGAGTCAACTTTAGACTTATTGTTGGTACTGATCTTTAAATGGCTTCTGTTCAAAATGAGAAAAACAGACACTTGCGTACCCAGATAAATACTTCATTTTAAACAATATACTGATTTGTGTGTCTTGACGTTTTTAGGCACAGAGTCTCAAGAGAAGCACAACTCATCGCTCTTCAATGCCTCCTGCAGGTGCACCATGGACGGAGGAGATTGGACATTTTATCATGCTGTATTTAAAGCCATGGAAGATAATGGAACCTGTTTACTTTTACTATTAATGCACGACATCTGTTTTTCTCCACTAGAGGTGAATTTACAAACTTGGAATCTTTGACTGTCTGAATCCCAATGCATGCTTTATATATTAATGCATTTTCCTTTTATTCATTTTAACTCAGGGGGTGGTCGGGATGGAAATTTGGGGCTCATTTGTTCATTTTTATACTGTCAGGAAAAGTTTTAAAAAGGTTCTAAATGCGACTTCCATAAAGTTATTAAACATACAATATTTACTGGTTATGATAAATGTATTGAATTGTCATAATGTTTTTTTTTTAGAAGTAATGGGAATGATGACTTTGAAATTTGAGGCAACTTTTTTTAAATGTCAGAGAAGGGACTTAAACCACCTCAGGGATTTCTGCTCTGGGATTTTAATTCAAATGAAATGCAATGTGTGATGATATATTCACTCAAAATAAAGTCTGTTTTCATCATACTTATTTGATTGAAATAGCCCATTTCTATGATCTATGATGAAACTGTTATCACTTCTGATGTTAATGTGTGACCTGTTTAATATCAGTCTTTTCCAGAGGAACAGATGACCTTTTATAGACCATGGGGATGTTTAAAAAGCCCTCCATATTTCACCAATTGAGCAAACTATGTTGGTTTAATTTTCACTCTTCAGTATTTCTTCTTACGTGTTAAGTGTAACAAATTGAAAGTAGATAATTGATAAGTAGAAGTAGTAGTACTGCAGGCCTACATGACTTCTTCAGTTTACACTTAAAGTGGTGACGCACATTTGCATTCGTCATTTGCATTTGTCGTCACCAAGATCTCCCTTAAACACACCGAGGCTGCACGCAGACTTTCATCAACGACTCAGATACGAGAGATGAGAAATGGCTGGTAAGAATTCAGACGACTGCATTGCGATACAGCTTGTGAAGGACAGGAGCTATGAGTAGTGTCTTTAACTTTCTCCGTCTTACAAAGTCTATCAGAAGTCTGCTTTAAAAAAAAAAAAAAGATGTATGAGTGTGCGTTAGAGAGCCACGAGTTACTTTCACTTCGTTGATGTTTGTGCCGGCGGGTTTCCGCGCTGCTTTTTTTCCCATGTTGAGCATTAAAGCAAAAAGAAGGGGCAGATCTGTTTAAATTATTATTGTAAAGTAAAAACACAGGTTAATTGACGCGCATTCACTTAAATGTCGTTTGTCTTTTAAAAGGTGTGTGCGGAACACGTTGGCAAACGTTAATAATTAAACGTCGCTTTATGGAGCTGAAATGTAGGAAGTGTGCTCATGAAGATGAAGCTTGTGATTTCTTCTAACTTAAAAACATGTTTAAGATTAAAACAGACAAACCATATTGACGTTTTAAGAATGGGGGAAAGTTTTTTTTTTTTTTACATTTTGAGGAGGAAGGGCAAAAACTATAAACCACTGCCAACTCTCCGCCCCGCAACGAAACAGAATAATAAACATCTTACAGGATGTCCGACGCCTTTTCTAACTAAGAACGACAACTTAAAGCAACAAAGTCTAGCATTAAAAAAGCTGGAACCAGGATTTCTTTTGACATTTTCTTTAAAAATGACAGATATAAAGCTGGTTATCAAAATAGTGGGCAGTTTTCGTTTAGTAGATTTAATAACCAAGCAGCTGCATCATATTTGGTTAGGCTACATCTCATATGCAACTTTAGACTGCACTGAATACAGCAGATTTTCTTTAAACTACCTCCATCTATACCTTTTTTTTAAACTTTTATGGATGTGTGTGTGCCTAAATGTGATGCATAATATTCTTTTTGTTTTAGAGAAGCACAGCAAATGTAGTGCTGTGTGAAATAACAATAAAGACATTTCATCTATTTATTCTTGCAGCTGGCTACAGAATTAATGCTTTATACATAATCTGTTTACTCCTGATTTCCTTATCATGTATATGCATCAGGTGTTTCAATCATCTTTTCCACCCTGTAAATTAGGGATCGACCGATATGGGATTTTTGGGTCTGAAACCGATAATAGGGAAGAAATAAATCCAATACCGATATATAGGCCAATATCTTTCTTGAAAAACAGCATGAAGGACTAGATCTATGTTCAATTTGTAGAGATAGATACTGTAGATATAGATATACACACTGATTGCTTGATCGCTCAAATGCAGATCAAACACTTGTGGAAAAGATATATAATGAAGACAAGATGGTCGATCAACTGGAAAGTAACATGCACGCTTGACACTCTAGAGGGAGATAATGCTTGATGTAATCCATATAGTACTCTCTGCTGGTGACAGCCAGAAAGAGAACTAGTGTAATACAATACAACTCAAATAAACTGCTATGAAACAGGGGAATAAATTTTGTCACATCAGCGTATATCTGTGATAAAATTAGCTGATTCGGATAGACACTGGAGAAGGTAATATTGGCAGATATTATCGGCTGGCTGATTTATCAGTAGGGCTCCACTGTTAAGCAACGAGGCTAAATAATGAAAAACACCATTTAACTGATTTGAAACACCACCCATTTCTTTATGGCCACCACAAACTAAACATTTAACACAAATTAGACACAAACAAAACATTCGCACCCTCAGGATTCATTACAGGAATGTTGTATTATCTCTCAATAATATTGCTGGGGAGAGGTTCCTCTCTGTTTTGCTTACAATGTAACATTTTTGAGATACATCATTTTTAAAAGTTTGCCGTTGTTTTGTTAAGCGTCATGATTCTTATATGTTGTTTTTCCCCTCTTCTAGATAAGGAGCTCGCCCGCGTGAGGAGCAAGTTTGTGGATAAGATCAGCAAAGAGGTGATAAGTCAGCTCCTGGACGACATTTTGGAGGATGGTATCGTGAACGATGGGGAGAAAGACTCGATCCTGGAGTTGAATAAGAGCAAAGCAGACAAGGCACGCTGTCTCATCGACACCGTGAAGAGGAAAGGAGACGCAGCCAGCAGGAAGATGATCACTCACCTTCAACGCAGGGATGCAACACTGCTCTCTGAACTGGGTCTGTCCTGTGGTCCACCTGCTCAGCCAGGTGAAGCCCTTTTGTCCTCTTTTGATTTAAAACCATATACTGCGACACCATCAATAAAATAACTGGCGTATTTCAAATCAGAAGAAGTTTAATTATTTTTCAACTTCACTTCTCTGTTGTTTCAGCAGCAGAGCCCAAGCTGGAACAAAATGGTCCACCTCACTTATCCCTTCCACTCAGGCCTTTTGGAGGGAGAAACAGAATGACCCAAGTGTTAGTCATTCATATAAACTATATCAAATAATCACACTGTCTTGACTAATAGATTTACTCTCTAGTTAGTTGCCAGTAGTGAGACATTGGGTCAAATTCTGTTTAACTTTCTTCCCATAAATCCTTTCCCCCCCAGATTTACAAAGTGACCAGCGATTCCATTAAGAGTCGAGTAGCTCTGCTGATCACTAATATAAAGTTTACCAACGAGAAACTCAACAGGAATGGTGCTGTGAAAGACGAGGAGAACATGGAGAAACTGCTCAACTGTCTGGGATACGAGGTGGTGAAACACACAAATCTCACAGGAAAGGTACTACAAAGACTTAAAAAGCATATTATTGTCTTGTTGACTTAGCACTGTAGTAACTCCCTTTTTTATGTCCCCACAGCAAATCAATGATGCAGTTATTGAGTTCTCTAAACATCCGAAACTCAAAGGGACAGACAGCGTGTTGGTGGTTATCATGTCTCATGGGAAACTGGGTGCTGTCCTCGGTGTGGACTGGAAAGATGAGCCAACTGGTGATGTGTTCCCATTGACAACATTTACAAACACCTGGGCTCTGAGAAATGTCCGGCCCTGCTGAACAAACCTAAGATCATCATCATCCAGGCCTGCAGGGGAGGTGATCCTCATGTACCTACTGTACCAAATAATAAGAGTTTAATAAGGTCTTGTTTGTTTATGTTGTATTAAATATATGTTACATTTGTTTCAGAGGAGAAAGGATCAGTGCTGGTTAGAGATGATGCAAGCTCAGCTTTGATATGCGATGACCTCAGCGGCCTGGTGGCTGATGAAGACAACATGGAAGAGCGACATGTACACAAAGAAAAAGACTTAATTTCTTTTCTTTCTTGCACCCCTGGTCAGTTCGCTTCAATCATCAATAAGCTGCATGAAGTAGAATAGTTACGTTGTGTGATGAAACCTTTAAATATTTGTTGTTCCTGTATGATATCTGCAGATACAGTCTCGTATAGAGATACTGTTCGAGGATCTATTCTGATCCAGTATTTGACTGCGGTACTCAACACCTTTGCACACAAAGACGACATTGAGGAACTTTTCAGAAAAGTAAGTTTTGCAAGCATAAACTGTCCCTCTGAGTTTGAAATAGGCATGTCTAAAACTCCATCACGTGCAAACATAAATCAGTCGTGGCGCTAACAAACATTTATGATGATGCTCTTGTTTTAAGTCTGGATGTTTCATAATTTCTAACACTGTTTGTTCTCATGTCACAGGTGATGGAACGCTTTGAAAAATTTGCTATTCAGTCCAATGCAGATGCCAACCAAAGAGAGATGTACCCTAACAAAGCGCTTTTACTTTTTCCCAGGCGTCTGAGATGCTCGAATGTTTGCTTGGACCAATCTTCTAAACCTTTCAAGAAATGTTTAAACACATGCCAGTCAATTTCTGCTCTCTGCAGTCAATTTCAATATCTGCTTTAAAGTCTCTTTACGCACTTCTATACTTCCAAGTATGTTTGCACAAACAAATAAAAGTAATTATTGTTTTCTTTTTCTTTACAAATAGTTAAACTATGCGATCATTACTTTTTTCATTTAAAGAAGTGGGGATTAATCATGGTAAGTCTATCATGAGCATTATGCAGCTCACTACAAGCCGCCTTTTGTAACTGTATTTTATACATAATTAAACATATCAAAACTGCCATTTTTAGACCAAATAGGCATTTCCTCTAGAACTTTTGCTCTCCTTTGTATAACGATTTTTTTACAGGTTATAAACACAAATAAAAATAACTATAGGCTGTGCCTCTTTTTCCAGGGACAGGATACATTCACAACTCCAGGTATTTTTGAAATAGTTCTATTTTCTTAATTGTTGCATTTATCCATGCTAACATGACATGTTAGCAGGACGGATTCCTTAATGTTTGGATGTACAATAGGCCACACATTTAGACCATGATTTCAGTATACAATTATATAGATACTTTATGAATCCTATGCAGGAAATTACCCTGTTACAGTAATGTGTACAGTGCAGTCTTTATTGCCAGTCCATAGAAGGAACATCATTGCTGTTTTCTCTTGCGATATTTTACAGTCACTTTGGCTATCACACTTGATTTAAGTGCTTTTCATCATATGGATGAAGTAATCAAGTAGTTTCCCAAGTAGGGTGGCTACGGATCAGTTGGCTGAGTCGGTTGACTCTCAAACAGGAGGTCAGGGGTTAGATCCCCAGCTGCTGAAGCCAGGCGGTGTATATTTCAAAACTGCTTTCTGAATAACAAGTAGGCTAACTTGCTTTTATAGGATTTTGAAAACACGACCAGCACATCATTACAACAAAGTGGTTATGACCCACTGTTGTGAGCAGGATCCTGACGGGAAAAGAAACAGAATTTCCCGTCAATGGGCTCGCCGTCACAGAGAACTCCTGACTCTGTAAACGCACCAATGAAAAACAATGCGCAAACTCTGAATTTTGATTTTTCAGACAGATTTTACTTGAAAAAGCAAAAACAAAGTGAAATCAAACTTATAAAACAGTGTTATCACAAAACAACACAAAGGCAAAACGTTGAGTAGGCAACATGGTAACATGGTTGCAATCTGTGCATGTCTGATGTGTTACCAGAAAACTGATATGAGAGTCTTTTAGACGGCTACATGAGTTCATGCTTTCACTGACTCATCAAGTTGAAAAAAAAAAGTAAACATAAAGTAGCATGACACATAGTACACTCAGTTTAAAGCTTATAAAAAACACATGAAACAACAATGTTGTTACTTACAACCAGAATAATCAATCCTACCAGACTAAACTCCATCTTCACATCTTATTTGAACATAGTGGCAGTGTTAGAGAGCTTTATAACAGTTTACACTCTATACAAAACAAAGACACAGGTGGCTATTAACAAGTAGGCTACTGCATGTTCTCATCCGACAACTGACACTCAGCACATTCAAACTTGTAGCTACAAATGAACAGTTATTCTCTTTAACTTATATACGCATGCACACACACTCACACCCAACACTGGTCAGAAATGCTGCACAACCGGTGAATATAGTCACGTTGCTTTCATAAACTATAAAAAAAAAAAAAGGTTTAAGTTCAACAGTGTGATGATTCCACAAAAAATAATCAAAAATCCCAGCTCCCTTTGCAACAGAAAAACAACATCTTAACAGCAACAAAATCATGCAGAGCGTCTGAAAGGAGGTAGAGGACGATAGAAAAAAAAAGTACAAATATTTAGGAATGAATAAAGATAATTCTCTGACAAAACGTGGCTTTAAGTGAACTGCAGATTAGCGGCCGGTCATTTTGCCTGTGCAACACAAAATAGACATTACAACTGAATAAGCGTCATATCTGGAAGTTGGAATGTTTTAGTATAGCTTTACATATCGTTTAGCATCTTTGTCATTCAAGAATTCACTTTTAGAAACATCATATTGTTGACAACATTCAACACTCAGGTTAACACTTTGCAGCACCACACGTTTACAGAATAGCAACTCATGCGGGGGAACACCTCCGGCCCTGTACACGGTGTGTAAAATGTGTCGTACAGTGTGCAGCGCACCTTGTTCAAACCATGTATTAGATTGCATCCGTGAGAACAGGACACTGGAAATGTGAATCTGTTGCGTGTGTGTGTGTGTGTGTTCGGCTGTGTGCCTTTCAGTGTGATTGTGGGTGAGGTTCAGGCCAGCGTTCCCCCAATGATGGAAGCGACAACAACTCCCAGAATTACACAGCATATAATAATCATTATTTTCTTCTGCACAGTGTTAGAAAATGTCCAAGGCAGCAATGGGAAAAGAGAAACGTGTTTGTTAGTTTTACTGTTCGTGTTATAAAATAAATAACCAAACGAACAAAATGCAGTTAAGAGGAAAAGCAGATAAACACAAGGCATGGCAGAGAACATCCTTTTTATGCCTGTGATGATTTCACTAAGTTTGACTGTGAACATTTCTAAATTCTCTTCCTTTTAAAACCAACAACAATATCACGTGCCTGCATTTTGTTCAACCCAGATCACACAATATTTTGAAAACTTACAGATGCAGAAATTTGAATTGTATTCATGTTAAAGCCAGTATGTAATCTGAAGATGCCTCATTTTGGGTGCCACCTCGAGGCAGCTTCAAAGCGATTAATGTGTCAGACAGCCAAATATATGCAGCGAGCTGAAATCAGTCTATTCACTGATTGATTGACTTTTCTGTAACAATGCACATATTGCCTTTGAAGCATATTTAAGATGTAAAACATGTGGCGTTGGCGGGTAACATGAATAAATATCAGCAGACAAACACATGCGAAGCTCTTCAACCGACTGTAAAACATGCACATTATGAAGGTAAGTGAATCAAAACACAAACATAAATGACTGGTCTCTAAATAGTTGAGATTTTGTTTAGAAAAAAAAAACATTTAAAATGTTAAGTGCACAAAACATATTAGAGTGCCATCAGACTGGTTATTTATGCCAGCATTCTACTTTTAAAGCAGTCTCTGAGTGACCACAGAGATCGCCATACAGTACATTTAAGTGCTGAAATAACCCCGAGAGGGAGGCGCCGACTCCTGCCGCGCCTGCTCTGAAGGGATTTCTTTAAACCCTAACTGAGTCCAACTGAGAGGGCAATAATGAGGATAGTCAGACACACTGCTATACAACTTGATATCAGGATCACTTTCTGGATGGGAGGAAAGGGGAGGGAAACAAGAAGGAACAAAACGTCAGATCAGGATTCTATTGGGGGAGAATTAATAAGAAACATAAAAGAGGAAAAGGAAAGGAAAGAAGAGAAGAACACTTTACTGTTGTTGACTGTTAGAAGGGAAAATACTCTGAAGAAGACCCTTGTAGATGTAGAACATTTCTACCTGTCAGTGCTGATTTAGATATTGACCAATAGGTGGCAGAGTTGTTCCATGGTACTGGGAAGTTGTAACAGAAGGAAGGATGAGCAATATGAAAAACAGTGATTAACAACCTCAATGAATTGCTGACCAGTTGTTGTTTTGGTATGTTTTTTTTTTTGTCAAAAGGCTTCATCTTTACCGTGTTCAGACAATTTTCTTTTGGATGAAATTTAAACTAAATGTCATTCAACTTCCTTGATTCTTTTCAAAACATAGTGATCCTGGAAACATCTTTTTTTCTTTTTCCTTTTCGTAGTTTTCTTTGAATTTTCATAGTGTGGAGTGAACACAGTCCATTCATTCTGAAACTTGTAGCTCAAACTTTTGAGTGTTACACATATTAGCCAGCAGCTCATTAGCTGAGTTTAGCTTATAGCTTTGCGTCGAAAACTATAAAACTGGGGGTAGCCTACAGCTAGCTAACTTGTATTCAATCTGAAAGAAATACAAATAATTGTGTGTTTTCACAGGGGTCCACCATGTCTGTACTAACAAAACCAGAGTTTGTGTTTGTTCCTCTGCCATTTGATGAGGCAAGGGTTTTAACATTTCAATAACCTATACATGTTTTATACTTTAAGCTAATTAGCATTTCTGTCCAGGTGCTAAAGCTGGTTTGGGTTTCCGTGAGTCCTCTACAGACAGCTTGTAGTTCATTGATCATTAAGTGTGTTGTTCATGTGTCTAATCTCTCAGCTAGATACAAATATGCAGATAGTTGTGGGCCTGCTTCATCGACAACCTGGAAATTGCCGAAGTACATGTACCACCTGTGGTACACCACCTACCCTTGGTTGGAAGTCTTTGGTATAGAATAGAGGACACACATGGTTCACATGCAGAATACATGACAGGTGGGCATGCATACACTGACAACAGTTACAGTTACACTCTGCCATATGCAGAACATACATGCAATGTGCTTCACTTCTTCGTGTGATAGCACATTTTTGCACATGCGCTGTTTTTTTTTTTTTGCATATGTGACTCACCCTTCGGGCTTTACTCTGGTATTTAACCGCCTTCTTAGTGTCTGATACTGCCCTCTCCACATAGTCTACTGAGTGCTCCACATTGTACTCTATGCGGTCTATCATTTCCCCCTGGGACAGGTTAGTAACAGAGGAGGAGTGTGGACGACATGCAGGCAGGAAGAAGAGAGATGGGGCCAGATGTTGAGGTAGGAGGAGGCGTGGATACAGATGGAGAGGAGATGAGGGACAGGGGATGAATGATGGGTAAGCGAGAAGGAGAGAGAAGGGGAAAAGAAAGGGAGAAAAGGGGAAAAAAGAGATGATACGTTAGTTCACAGAATGTGTGTTTTTTGCATCTCACCCGTCTGCTTGTCTTTTTGAACTTTTTGCATTTTGGGATTGTCTCCTTCGCCTGATCGACATGTTCCTGAGCCTCCTGCACACTGCGCTCGATGTTGTTCACCAGCTCACCCTGCACAAAAAAATAAATAATTCTTGTTTGTTTGTTTTATTCTTACATTAAACAGTGATGCCTATTTTCCTTCAAAGCGTCAAAGAATGTTTAATATTACAAATGTAGCATTATTGGCGATTATGGCATAAAAAAAAAGGTATAAAGGGTTAACACATGCAGTGCAATCACAATTAGAATAAAACATAAAATAGAGGAAGGAATCACAGGTGAATTACCTTGGCTGTATTGGAAGGGCAGCGCTGTTTGCTCTTATCTAAAGCTTGAAACAATGTGGTGAGGACAGAATTGTGTTGTGAAAGGGAAAAAAAGAGAGTGCATTTCTGAGAAAGGCTAAATTAACAAAAAGACTCAAATGACATGTTAAATGATTTGTTGATCGGCTGATAAAGAACGGGTTAGTTATTTAGATTATTACATTTAAAGCATCATTACTGCTGCCTGACAAGATAATAAGAGTATACTCAGAAAAGGACATGGAAGCTATAAAGAATTAATCTATCCCATTGTGCTGTCTTTGTTATTCATATCACTTTCATGCCACTATTTACATTCATATTTGTCATTCATCATATTTTCTATTTCTTGTGTTCAGATTCCCTGTTGCATAATTCAGATTGAGAATATCTGATGACTGAAAGAGTTCATCTCTGTGGGGGTTCAGCTCACACACTTATACAGGCAGGGCCTGCAGATTGATATGAATGTAAAAACCTGATTACACTGAGAGAACTCCATTTAATGTCACAGATCACTGGATGATTCAAGTACAACAAACAGTACATAAAGCATCTTTGTTCTTTTAGAGAATGTTTCTAACTCAGAAACGACAAACCTCTAATATTTTTTTAAACCACTTTGAACCTACAAAGCCGATCCCTGTGTCATTTTTTGTAATTTTATATTTAAATGCTCTTACAAAACAGCATATTAATGCTATGCTGTTTAGTTGCCAATTTGAGAGTCCCAGGTGTACGATGTTCCTTCCAGCTCATGAACATAGCGTAATAATCATGTAAAAAAAGGTCTTATGGCAGAAATCCCAGATACAGATTATCACCAAATTTCAATCAACTGATCCTTGAGCCAATAAATATGTGTGTCCCAAATCCTGTCTGGTTTTATTGAGTTATTTTGCAAACAGATAAGCAGATGGAGTCGAAAACACAAACTCCTTCCAACTCTGTTGGCATGGATAGACCAAAATCTAAACTAAGACACTCTGCAACTTGTATGTCATTACTAGACAAGAATTAAGAGACTGACACCTTCTGGAGATGCCACAGCTGTTGTGTGATTGCATCAATTACATTCTTAAAGCTTGTATGTCCTAATGAAGTTTGGCACAAGCCTGGGCAACTTTCTGAACCACTGAAAGAAGAAAATTAAGAACCTAGCAGCTGGAATTCTAACTTTACTTTTCTATCATGTTTTTTGAAAGACTGATCTTTAATTTATGACTACATTGAGCACCTGCTGGTTTGTTTTTAGATGCTTTGGGAATAGCCTAGAAACAAGACATTTTTAAGTTGACGGAGAAGATCAATGTTTTCACCTGGCTCTCCACCAGCATGGCCATGTCCATGAACATGTCGTGAAGCTCTCTGATGCTGTTTTCCAGCTTGATGATCTCATTGTGTCGAGTCTCGATCTCATTCATAGCTTGCTCTGTGATGTTGTCCATTATGATCTGTGGCGTGACAACAGAGCGGAAGTATTAATGAGGAGAATGACGAGATTTAAAATGTTCTATTTGTTGTATCACTTACCCCAGACGTAAAGATGGCTGGGTTGTCACTCTCCAACATGCTCTCCAGCTCGTCATTTGTTGTGTTTCTCCCAGCTGGAAGTGTAAACACATGTTAACATCTGTAACAAACTGTAACGACCAGTCATGTCTTTGGCAAGTCACACTGCAGTTGATGAAATCTACATTTGAAAACCCCTAATTAAAAAAATCTGCTCCTCCTTGAGGAGTCATTAAAGCAGGCTCCATGTGCCATCCTTCCCACTAGCTCATTTTCTCTCTATCCATCTGTCTTCTGTCTATCCATATTTAAGACCAACAATATATGTTATATCAAAATAGCTGCTGCAGGGACCGTAAGTCAATGGATCTGGATCACAAGCTTGACATTTTAACTTAAGGTGCTTTGAATGTTAAGTAAGTGTGTTTCTGGATTGTTTGCAAAAAAAACAACAAAAAAAAAAACAAGTCATTAGTTGAACTCAACCTAAAACACAGGAATAGCCTTATAACAGCACATGGATCTTCAGTCATGTAAACACTGGCCAGCCCAAACACTGAAAGGCCTACAGAGCAAACACTATAGAGAGTAAACGTGAAATGGTCTGCTCCAGAGTTGAGACATTGTACAATAACCTAAAAACAAGCCTCCTTTAAAATGGGCCAGTTTTGAATGTTATTCTCCCTCTAGATCCAGCTGCCAAACGGATTCACAGTAAATTAGGATATTAAGATAAATTAATTGGAGATTCAATTTTAACTTGAGGCTAACATCAAATAATTTAGCCTAAAGTTTCTCCCTCAGTAGATCTACAGTTTACAATGGACTTTGATCTGTTTTGAACCTGCCATGACAACCTCGTGCAGTCCAGCGTTTGTCAAACATCACCTCTTTCATTCTGTGCGTGACACAAGTGTCATTCACCTCCACAACCTTCTGAAGGAGGACACATGAATGCTTTGAATGTTTTTCTATCTATATGAACACCAATCTACCCGTAAACTTTACTTTCTTGCCTGAGAAGAGATGTACAGTCAAACATGAAGGTAAGACCTTGCATTTTAAAAGAAGACAGAAGGTCATAAGGAGACTGGTGAGCTCACGTCACAACTCATGGCCTTATGGATGACGTAAAACGAGTAAAGAAAGGCAAAGATATATCTCTTTGAGAAGAGACTGTTTACTATTTTGCACTCATTGTATGACATGTTGAACAATGTTTTTGCTTTACGGAGCTCAAAGAAACTGAGGCCAACAGCTGTGTAGTTGGCAAGTCTAACCTAACTTTAGCGTTTTTGAGCTTCATATTTATAATTAAGTTTTTAAGTAACTCTTGTGAGAAAGTCAATTTCAGTTCCTTAAATGCCTTAATATTACCAAAATTGGTTATTTCTAACCCTCACTTATTTAGTAAAAAACAAATTCACAGCTAGGCTAGCTTTGTCAGATGTTGCACTTTTTGTCTCCATTGGACATCCAGCAATCATTAACATTAAGCCGCAGCTATAGAACTTCAACTCATGACATAATCAGTGGGTGTGTGTGTGTATGTATGTGTGTGTGTGTGTGTATGTGTGTGTGTATCTGGTTGTGTTGTGTAATGTGTGGAGAGGACGGTTGCCTGGGGGCCTCAGTGGCTGTGTAGGTATGGTGACTGATGATGGTTTGAAGTCGGAGCCGGTGATTGCCTTCACGAACAGAATACTGATGAAGCTGCTTACTTTACATTTACTGGTGCATGAGTGCGCCCCATGTTGTGCGTGCGTGCACCTTTGTACATTGCTATTTGCATTAACTGGGCATATCTTGCCTAATCCAAACGCCATATCAAACCAATGAATTTCATTAAGCTGTGGTCGAGTGGTCCTGCTCTTTCATTAAACTGCTTAAGAACCTGCTCAGGCCTTGCAATGACATGTTGCCACTTGACAAATGAGAGAATGAAGACAGCACACAAAGAGGATCTCTGTGATCAATTCCCTATTCTCCAGGCCTTTCTGATAATAAATACTTCCTCTATCACGAAGGCTAAAACTACAACATTAAAGGGGGTCAGAGTGTAAGATGAAAGGACAGAAAGGAGGAAAAATGAGTCATGGATAATTGTGAAAAGAAAAAAAAAGAAGAAACTACTCTACCCTATTTATCTCACTTCCTACACACACACACACACACACACTGACAGCTCAGAGGGAGGCTCTTATTTGTTACCATGGAGACCCAAACCCTGAGAAGCCTAATATGAAGCCAAGGAGTTGCACTTCGCTCGTAGCATTCATGGTCTATTGAATCATTCATACTATGTTGCTACCAGTATCCGAATTATTTCTTTTATATTGTTATGTAACACAAATGAAGTGAGATCTGAAGTGAACAGAGGGGAAAAGGCAAACCATACTCATACGAAGAGAGATAAAGGCGAGGGGTCTTTTTTTTCTTTATACGCTTCATTCCAATTTCACAGGAATAGGAAATGTTATCCGCACACAAACAGGTCAAGCTGTTTGTTATAGGAATGTATTTGTGTCGTCTAATTCACCCCCCCCCGGCATTGTAGTGTGTGAGTGTCTGTGGGGGAAATAAAAAAATAGTAAAATGTCAAAGAGACCCTGCAATGCCTGTGACCAACACCCCCTCCGTGCTGCTGCCATCCTGCCTGTCTGCATATTGAGGCAAATCAATGTGTTAGGTTCTGCATGATCCTTCACTAACAGACGAGAAAACTGCAGAAATGAAACTGCTTTAAAACTGATAACAGTATGCATGCATGGAATGTTTTTTACTGGCTGGAGGAGTGACTGTGAGTTTTCCCTGGTCCTTTTTAAAACCACAAAATGGCATATGTTCATTTCAGTTTTTGTATGTATCAACAAACAAGATGTAACATGTTGATAAGTTACAGCTTTAATGCTGTTTCTAAGACAGTCTGCTGTTCCTTCTTTATTTTAGTCTTATGCTAAACTAAGCTAAGCTAACCTAACAACCCCTTGGCTCAGTCTTAAAGCTGTGAAGAGTTTCTCCACAAAGCTGGTTATGAAACCGATTTGATATTCATACAACTGTTCCTATTTTCTGTAACCTTTTCCTGCAGGTTTATGTCTGTAGAGGTGATTAACAACAAGAGGCTGAAACAACATTTTCTTTACATGTTACATAACATTTTCTCAGTGAGTGGTGTTTTATACAGTTCAGAGACAGCAGGAGGATATTTGCAATGAACCCCAAGCTGCAAACAGTATCATAAATTCTCCAGGAATATGTGATGTGTCAAAAGCTCTGACAGCTGTATCCTGAAGATAGTTTTCATTTTTTTAACCAAATATGTTCACGCTAGAAGAAAGTAAATTTATTTAATTTTGACAGAAGATGTAAAATAATCTTTAAAAAAGACAGTCTGATAGGTTTTTTTTTCAAATATATTTGTACTTTTTACTGGGCCCCAGTTTTTTTAACCATTCAAAGACTAGATAACATGCAGTAGTCTTTTGAGTTACATGTTAACAACATGTCCCGATGTTGCGTCCCTGTAGCTTTCAACAGCAACAGGAAAGGAGAGTGTCAGCAGAGGAAACATCGATCCTCAGGACGGCAGACCAGACTAGGTTTCACTCTGTGTGTGACACACTCTTATCGATCTGCACACAAATAAGTCACACAGGTTGGCACAACAGAAACACGGCTCTCCGGCTGCATAAAGGACTTGAATTGTGTTGGCTCAGAGCACAACACTAAATCTCATTTAAAAGTTCAAATAAAGACCAAGAACTGGATTTCTCTCTCTGCCTCGTTCTCATTATTTCTCCTCTGTGCTGCTATTCCTCTATCTCCGTGCTCTCCCTGCATGTCTAATCCCTTCCTTGGCGACAGGTGATATCAGCCGAGGCCTCCTGTGACTTCACCTGCTGACAAAATCAAACCCAAATGGATCTGGAGGAGCCAGGAGTCAGTTGTGTGTGTGTATGTGTGTTTAAATCCATTAGGAGAGTTTGTCCTTTGATTAGCCTCTGGAAGCACTTCATGATGACACTGCTGTTCTTTTGACGGGACCACATGTAGCATAAAGTGGGTGGTGCTCACACGTTCAGAATCTGCTGCATGTGTCCACTCTACACAGACAGCTGGCCAGGAGAAATTACATCCATGCCGAGTGACATACAAAATAACTACCCCTGCTCTCCTATGCTATTAAATGAGTCATCGTGGCTTCTCTGCATGTATATATGTGCGTGTGAGTTAAAGTTTACAGAGCTACAGTGACTGTGAGGGGCAGCTGGCACCGTGCAGCCTGCCTGGGTGTAGAGGCTGTGTCAGGTCCAGGAGGCCAGGGCCTGCAGATAAAACCTGTCAAATCATATAACACAACCAGTGTGACAAGAGTGAGAGTGAGCTCAGATCCAAGCTGCAGCAGGCTGGCATGTGCCTGAATATGGGTGTGGGTGTTGGTGATGTATGTGTTTTGAAAAGTGTGAGGGTGGTTGTTTTGGTATTGAACAACAGACAAATGCAAAATAAAAATATGGAGGAGATTTACTGAAATGTCTCTCTAAAGAAAACAAACACATTTTTTTGGAATTCATTTTGTGCTCAATTTGGTGGATGACTGGCTCAGATGATGACGTTGGATGTCTACCGGGTTTTATATTTTGCTGTCGCTTATTTTTGAGAGTTTGTGTGGAAGGTTTTTAACATTTGTTTGTGCGTTCTATTTGAAATAAATGTATGCATTCAATACCATTTTGTCAGTCTGTGTTGGTGTTGAAGTTGCAGGTAAGCAGCTGGGTGTGGATATTACATATTTTCACCACTGAAGTTGAAACCTCTTTATTTCTAAATCACCAGCTTCAAAATCATCTTTTTAGCAGCACCTGTGGCAACACATTGTGACTGCAGGAAACACTGGTTTGCTCTGGGGTTTCTGCTCTTCTTTGGATTTGGAAATTGCACTCGTTTTAAACGTTTCATAGTCTGAATAAGTTTTTCATTTTTCGTTTTTTTATAGTTATTATCTACCTGAAATGTTGTCAGAGACGGAAAAAAACCTGAAACTTCACACAAGTGACTTCTAATAGGGGGAGATGTGCCAGGAGATGCAGAAATGTTACTGTGAAATGTGTGCAGTCAGTACAATGGGCAGAGGAGGGTTTATTCTACCAGGGGTACTCACTGATCTCCAGCTGTCTCTGGATGCGTCCCTTGCAGCGCTCCCTGTAGTCGGACTGGGTGGTGTTGTATTCTGACATTACCTCAACAAACTTACGGGAGAGCGTGGAGTGCTACAATAAAAGAAGAAAAAACGTCATCTCATGGCAGCATCAGACACTGAACTTCATATCTAAAGAATAAAGGAACAACATTAACATGTGCCAGCATGTTTTAACCGTCAGTGTCCCTGTGGAGGATTTTCCCACAATGCCCTGCTCAGGGGACATAGAAGATGGTCATAGCAGACACAGCTTGGAAAGATTTTGACAAACACAAAGGACATTTTTATAGAACATTTAGCATTTTCTTGGTAAAAAAATGATTATCTTTAATGACTGTCCAAGGGTACACATATTGTCTTAATATTGTCTAGTTTGCCACTAAAAGGCTCTTTTCTCTGCTGCTTCCTCTCCTGAACTGTACCTGTGTTTTGCGTATCCTCAGGTCAGCTGTTGACTTGTTCTGGCCTTCTTCATGCTCTATGGTTTGCTGTATACCTGGAAGACACAAAAAAATAAAAAGTGGTTACGGGGAGACTACACAACATGAAAGTTAACACCAAGACTGATGTGCCATTGGTTTATCACTCAAACTAAGAAACAATGGTAGTTTTCCGTGTCAGATTCACTGACAGAGTGAATCTGATGGCGGCACAAGCGGATGATGTACAGGCAGGCTATCAAATATGATTTTATGAATGGGAGAAAAAGTGTGCTCAGAAAAGTTCATTACAATTCACCAAATACAGATTTAGATTTACAGGACTTAATGCGAAGGCAACATTTTGACCTGAAGCTACATTCAGCCACATGGGGATATTATTACAGAACGGGGAACGTAATACGTTGAGTATGTACATGTAAGTAACAATACGTCTCTACACGGAACAAATATGATTTAATCACACGTAAAATGATTCACTCAAGTGGAGAGAGAACCATTGAGAATGTGTTTGGACCTGGAAAAGAAATGGATCAAAGTGTAAATGACATGGTAACTGCTCTTGTTTGTCTTCTTCTTGAGGACATTTTGAGAAGACAAAAACCTTTTACCCTATAAGTTATTTTCTCTGAGCTTACTTACAGAGAGAAAATTATCACATCAGATTTTTTTTTTTTGTAGAGGAGCTGCTGCTGAGCATAATTAGTTAAATTAAAGGGGCTGTCAACGTAAGGCCACGTGAGGCACTCAATCAATTACTGAATTACACAGAGATGCTAGAGCCTGCTGATTTACATTCACAGTTTTCTCTCACTTAAGATGTGAGGAGAAAGCTGGTCCAACTTTCGAAGGGTAAGGGACCTTTTTTTTTTTTTTTTTTTTAAAAGATTCATTTTTGGGCTTTTTGCCTTTAATCGAGGGGTCAGTGGACAGTGCTGGAAACCCCAGAGGAAAAACAATTGAGAGTTTTCTGTAGTTAAGACAAACGGGCGAAACAGACCTGAGGAAGAGAACATGTTTACCGACGATGTATCCAGGTAATTGACATGACGTTTTTATCACGACAGCCCCTACATCAACAGTACTGCAGCTTTCAGTTGCAGTTCACACTTTCTTATGTAGCAATCTTTGACGTAAAGCATCCGGTGTTCCCACGGCAACGATTAGCATGTCTGACATGGCACGTCCTGTTACAACTGTCAAATGAAGAATTTCTCTGGCTATGTTCTGTTGGAAATATTTGAGGCAATGTAAGCACTCAACAACAAAATGTATATAAAACATAGGTTAAGTGAATTTTTAATGAATTTAGATATTTTAGTGTAACATTTTTACATCTCATATCTTTAAGGAGCATAGATGGATAAGTAAAAACTGTATGTCCATGTTGTGGGCGTGATTCAGCACTAGCTACACATCTATTTATTTTGCAAGCAGTATGTTACTTTAATATTGGTTCTTTGTTATTGCTGCTAACACAACACTTAGCTTTTACCATTATTTCTGGCATTGTAGCTGTACATCTGTTTTATTTGTTGTCGTTGTTTCTCTGTTTGTCTCTATCTTATCTCTATGTACAGATTTTACAGAATATGTACACAGGGGTCTGGATTTTCAACATGGGAAGTTTGCTGGTTTGCATTTGCAGTCCAAGCTGCATTGACCAATTCTGTTTGGTCTGAAACAGAGTCCGTGTGGACAGCAAAAAACAGGCGAAACATTATAACAGAAAATATTCAATTGTTGAAGCTTAAGGCAAAAAAAAATATGGGAACACTTCCACTCACTCTTTAATTTGGAGCGCACTTTGTTGGCCAACTTCTTGATGTCTGCCATGAGATCCTCCAGCTCGGTCTTTGTCTCTGAGGCGAGAAGAGAGAAGAAGATATTAACAGACTTCTGTGAATCTAAAACTTTCACATACGTATATCCTTCTTCGTGTGCTGTCTTTTTAAGAGTACCAGCATCCTTCACTTCTCTCTGCAGTCTACTTTTCTCTTTCCATGCAGGCCCATATCATCAAACATACAGAAGTGTACTGTCTGAACACATGAGGTTATATGGGTCCAAAAGCAAGGTTTGTTTGACTAGAGGAAAAAATGAAATGGTGATGGATGGCAGCAAAATTTAAGATAAGGGGGAAAAAAAAGCAATCAAGAAGGTACATTCAGGCTGATTTTGCTGGTGAATAATTTAATCATCAAACTCTGCTGTCCCTCCACACGCTGCCCGTTTTCTAAATGGAAACTGTTCTTGTTCATGGGCCAAAATTGCACAAGAGAGTCCCAATGCACAATGATACAATTTGCTGAATACACAAAAAGCAGTCTAAATAAATGAAGAAAGAATCAGGACAGATCCTGTGGGACGATTTAGGACGCACATAGAAAAAAACAGACTTGCCTCCTCTGCTATTAATTATTTCATTCTTATATATAATTCCCTCTGTGCAGTCCAACACTTTAGTATATTATTAAAGCCTGGGTATATACCTACAAGAACAGTAAGCATTTTTCATTAAACACATCTCAAGACAATTTGAACAATTCTAATGATTTATATTCTATAACTATACTTCAAATCCAGAAATCCAGCATACAGTGTAATAAAAGTAAACACTTGTACGGTTTTTTTATGTCATAATTTGGTGGAAAGGCCACGTCTGGTAACATTTTACTTCAACTACAACAATAAAATATTCTATCAAAACTATTACAAACATTTAATTTAGCTGTAAGTAAGTACATAAAATGACATCCATCCATTATCTATCACGCTTTTTTTAACCATTCGGGGCTGCGGAGAGCTGGAGCCGATCACAGGTGTCATTGGGCGATAGTCGGGGTACACCCTTGACTGTTCGCCAGCCAATCACAGGCCTGGCGTTTAGAGACAGAAAACCAGCCACACTCACATTCACACCTACGGTCACCGCCATGTCTTTGGACTGTTTGAGGAAGCCGGAGTACCCAGAGAGAACCCACGCATGCATGGGAAGACCATACAAAGGCCACGCCCTCTCCGACGGGGGAGTCACACCAGGAACCAGGAGGAGCTGAGAGGTAACAGCGCTAACCACTGCACCACCACGCAGCCCATAAAAATACATCTTCAGTGTTTGGCATTGGTCAACAATTATAATTTTACTTACGAGACCATGCTTCATGTTACATACATGTTTAGCTGCCCACATGAAGAGTTATACTTCTAACAAGAACGTTGATAAATATGTGCAAGCTTTATTGATGTAGTTTAAATGTGGTGCTTAAAAATACTTAAACCCAGGGGGTAAAAGTGAAGTGTTTTCTCATCTGATTCTCGATATAGAAAAAACAAAGGGAAAGTTACAGAATAGTTTTCACACATTCTCTCACACCTTTTACCCTGGAGCATTAATTGCCATTTTTAGCACATTGCAAAGAAGTGTTGAAGTCATTTATCATCTTAATGCTATAGGAGACCCTAATCTTCATAAGTTAACAAGCCCAGAGGATCCAGCAGACATTAAAAAATTGTCTTAAAGGGTTACTTAAGTCAAACTATTCAATCAAAACAGAGCAAAGCGCCTGCAGTGCTTCTTTTATAATGAGTTTGTTAGTGGATGTGACCTGCTTTACAAAGCTGCATAAATCACAGAGATGAATAGGAGATGAGGGGGCAGAATTACTGAGCTGATGCCAGAGCAAACATCTGCATCCAATTATGCATAGAGAAGACTTCAATCGCTGATCGGTTTTCAATCAAGAAAACAATATTTGCACACATTATCTTCAAGGAAAGAAGCTTAAAAATTGTGAGATGATCAAATTTGATTTTTCCCCAAAGTAGCACTCTCAATCCGCACTGTTTGATGTTCATGGTGTCCTTTTTAAGAAATTCCACCCTCACATCTAAAACAGTCAGCGGCCCAAAGTGGAAGATTCAATTTTGTCATTATTTTATTCACAATGAATAATATACAGTATGTCCCATGAATCCTTATTAGCAGCTTACACTAGCTAGGATAAATCCTCTGACCATTTTGTATCTAAACTATAACAGCACATTGGAGGTAGAAAAGCACATTACATACTGATCAGTAAAATCCTTAAAGCGTTTAATCTGCTTAACAGATGTATTTCCATATCAGCAAACATCAGCCTGTGGTACATGCAGCTCAGCAGCACAGGGCAGACGACATGCATGCTGAATGTGCTGAATGATAACTTCAGACTTTTGCACAGGAAGAAATTACGCTATTTTAATGTATGATTGGAGGACAATTGGGGGATCTTTGTAATAATTTTGATTGCATTTGGGAGATGTAATGAAAAGAGGGACGATAAAAGGGCAGACTAAAATTAAATCTAAGAAATTACAACGACACGATGAGCATGTCAAATTTGTACTCCACTACGAAGTCCAGGCAAGTGCTTTTTAAAGAAACAACATTCGGTTTTTGACCACTTAAATCTTGAGGCAGTAATGTTTTTTTGTGTGTTTTTGTTCTTGTTTATTAGCACATATTTCAGAGCAGTCATGCAGGGGAGTTTTCTGCAGAGGGTTTCACCTTGTTTTGTTGACCACAGGAGGCTGCATCAACACAATCATTACACTTTATAACAGAATCAGAAAGGAGGACTTACTGTAAAGCATGCAAACATGGGTTTAGGATAAGAATGATACAACATATTAAGAGACCGACATAAAAGATCGAACCCCCGTTAGTCATAACCTGCTGTGTTTGCCATGAAAAAAAGACGAAAGGAGCCAGGATTGATTTTCACCAAAATAAAATAATCACTTCAAAATGAAACTGAAAGGCAATAGTAATGAGGTGTGTGTGTGTGTGTGTGTGTGTGTGTGTATGTGTGTGTGTGTGTGTGTGTGTGTGTGTGTGTTGATGCAGAAGAAGTACACTAACATAAACACAAAGAGAGAGAGAGAGAGAGAGAGAGAGAGAGAGAGAGAGAAAGAGACTGCAGGAAGCTGCCTTTATACCATGTAGCAATTGTCCAGATCTGAGAGGATCTATTCATTCAGATCCTTGGTAAACCTCAAAGAGACAATATGTAAACACACAAACTCTCTAAGCAGCGGCTGTCACAAGCCGTATTTCGATATAATCAACACTGAGCCTGTGGTGCATGCAGCTCACTAACACAAAGCGGGGAACATGCATGACGATGCAGAATAATAACTTATTATATAACTTATACTGTGCATAATAGACCTGTGCACAGAAGAAATCACACCATTTATGAAATTGGCTGAAAAAGACCGATCTATTTAAATGTCTGAATGTAGGGGGACAGGAGAGTCGTTGTTCTTTGTCATTAAGTTTGATAGCAGTAGAGGGAAGGCAGAGGACAAAGTAAAAAACAACAACAACACACAAGCAAATTGAGCTGAAGAAATTGCAATTACATGATCAGCAGTTAGTTAGTCCTTTAGCAGCTAAAATGTGTAGGGACGTGTGTTTTTGAAGGCAACACATCTCTAGCCTGCAAAGGATTTCCTGTCTTTTTTATCACCTGCACATATAGTATTTTTAATATATTTGATGTTTTATTTGATAGAGACAGATACAATATATATAGACAACGTAAAAACAACATGCAATTGCAAGTATCATAGTGTTTATAGCGGATGCTAATTTGTAACACCCGTCCCTAGAAGGGCTTTTGTGTAAATATAAGATTAAAAGTCTTAAAAGGGAAAGAGAGAGAGAGTAAACTGGGTATAGTAAACTACAATAAGACACATATTTAGCTGTGATATAGCTACAAATACTTTAACATGGGTAAAGTTGCTGAACTAACCAGGACTTGGTGGCTCTTTAAAAAAAATTGGTGAAGTTCAAGTTAATAAATATGATAGGCACACGTGAGTATAGGCAGAGTCAAAAGTGAACTTATGATGCTGGGTGAGAAAGAAATCCTATTCTACTGTAAAATGATGGGAGAAACATGGAGGATATGCAGAAGAGCAGCTTCAATCTTGATGCAACATTTGAATAAAACTGTGTCTCATCTCAATGCTGAGGGCAAAATGTGTGCAGCATACAGGGGGTCTCTGAGGGTCTCAGACTGGTGTGAAGAGGTGGGCTGAAGCCTCCAGGGCAATCGGATAAAAACTGGGTTTTGTGTATAATGCAGAGGGAGAGTTGCTTTATGAGTCTAATCAGCTGCAGATCACAGATTGTCTGTTTAGAACAATTACATTTCTGTTCAGGTCTAAATAAGGGTGACATCGCTGTATCTACAGGGCAGTACTTGTCATTCATAGATGTTTCTCTACAAAAAAGGATTAGTATGTTAATCTTTGCGTCGACTTGTGCACTTTTTGCACAATGCAGAAACACTCAGAGGTGTAAGGTTATGAAAAAGTGCATCCAGCTTTTCTGTGTAACCATAGCAACCTCTAGTATCCTGCTCAATGAGGTCAGCTGCACAAACATCACTGAGATAATGACAAAAAAAGCTTTGTTTTTGGCCATTCATGGAGTGTATATGTATAAGTGTGTGTCAAGGAATTAGATTAGATACCCCCCCCCCCCCTTTGTGAATACTAGACGGAGACAACCTGCTCGATCAGGTGTTCAGCTGCATAATTGGCTGCTAGAAAAGACGACCGGTGCAGAACAAGTGGAGTAAGAGGGAAGCAAATGAGAGGGCACAACTGAGGAGTCAATTGAGTTGTGGCTTCACATCCGGTCCTCTCTCTTCCAAAAGCTCTCGAACAGGATCTTCAGGTCACGCTCGTTGCCATCATTAAGACTGTGTTGCTATGGCGATAATGTGGAGTCAGGCCTCTCGTCGGCTTTACGTTGTTTAAAGTGGCAGAGAGAAAGCGAGAGCAACAGAAGGGCTATGAGGCATGA